TTGTAATTTCTGTAATATAATTTTCCGACCCTATAAAGTATATATATTCTGGACCCTTATAGATAGCGAAGTCGCTTAAGCCATGTCCGTCTGTCTGTCCGTCTGTCTGTATGTTTGTTTAAATCAGTTTTTAGATAAAACTGATTTTTTCAATAATTCTGTTAGACATGCTTTCGGGAAGATCGCTATTTAAAATCAGCATAATCGGTCCATAAATACCGGAGTTATGAGCAAAAATCCGAGACAACCTCTTAAAATTTCATAAAAAAGACAATTTTTTCATGTTTTGATATAAGGAACAACAACACTGCTTATTCATTGAGTATTTCGTTTCATATGTTTGGATGGCTGTGTGTTTCATTGCCTTGTGTATATTGTTTTTGTTTCTTGGTGCATTCAGTTTCGTATGTTTGGATGTCTGTTGGTTTCATGTATTTTGTTTTTGCTTTTTTTGAGTATTTCCTTTCGTATGTTTCATTGCCTTGTGTATATTGTTTTTGTTTTTTTGATGTATTCAGTGTCGTATATTTGGATGTCTGTTGGTTTCATTGCGTTGTGTATTTTGTTTTTGCTTTTTTTTTGGAGTATTTCGTTTCGTATGTTTCATTGCCTTGTGTATATTGTTTTTGTTTTTTGGTGTATTCAGTTTCGTATGTTTGGATGTCTGTTAGTTTAATTGCCTTGTGTATTTTGCTTTTGTTTTTTGTGTATTTCGTTTCGTATGTTTGGATGTCTGTTGGTTTTACTGCCATGTGTATTTGTTTTTTTGTGTGTTTATTTCGTTTAGCATTGTTGTTCGTTTTGCTGTTGCTATAATAATGATATAAACGGGAAAATGAAATAAATTAAAATTTTATAGAATTGATATTTTTTAAATACACTGTGGTGAAGGGTATATAAGATTCGGCACAGCCGAATATAGCAATCTTACTTGTTTTTAAATCAACTTTTCATTAATGTTTTCCTATTATTAAATTTTGTCGATATTTTGATTTTTGTCTTTTTTAATACTACTAAAAACTACCAGATAAAATTTCGAACTAAATTTTTTTATGGAAAAATCTAGATTTGGATCGAAATCTAATGCTATGTTTCCATTGGATAGAAATCTACTAGATTTGCCTTCAAGGTGTTTCCACTGAATAGTATATAGATTTATTTCTTAAATTACATCAATTTAAAATTTATAATTTTTTATTTTCTTATTTCGAAAATAAATGTATTTTTTCGACAAAAACATTCAATTTAAATGGATAGCCTATAATTGTATTTCTTTATCCGAGACACAACACAGAGTTGCATATACATAAATGAAATCTTGTAGATCATACCCCATTTACACTACATCGAAATCTAGTAGATTTCAGTCGAAATCTTTCTTCAAATCTTTACCGTTTACACTTCGTATTTTTGACATTTAGGAAGATTTCATTTTTTCTAATATTTCTCCAAATTGTGTTTAATATGAAAAATTAGATGGAAATATGGAAAATTTATTTGAATTTCATTTAGAATAAAAAATAGATATTTAAATATACATTACCTTCTATTTTAAATTATCTTTTCATTCATGTTTTCCAATTTATTAAAATTTTGTCGACATTTTGATTTTTCTTTGTTTGCTTTGTTTTTCTCTTTTTTCTTGTGCAGCGTCGTATTTTTTTTTAGTATTATTTAGGAAAAAACAGAGTTGCATTTTTATTTTTACTAGATTTTGCCAAAATCTACTAATGAAGAAGATTTTGTTTTGAATGGGAAATCTAGTTAAAATCAACTAGGTTTGCTCGAAATCTCATAAGTACTAGATTTCGCTATAAATGGGGTATTAAGTAGATTTGAATATGTCAGAAATGTATGGCAAATCTACATGATTTCAACTAGTTTTGCCCAAATCCACATTACCCCATGTCAATATTCGACAAATCTATGTGTTTTGAGCAAATCTAGTGGTTTTTAGTAGTGCAGCTCTGTTTATTCTAAATAATTCTTAAAAAATACGACGCTTTACAAGAAAAAAGACAAAAATCAAAATATCGACAAAATTTAATAATAGGAAAACATTAATGAAAAGTTGACTTAAAAAAAAGTTAATGCAATTATTTAATATAAATGAAATATACCTCATATTTTTTTCTAATTTGTTATGTCAAACAAAATATTAGAAAAAACAAGTAAGAGTGTTATATTCGGCTGTGCAGAATCTTATATACCCTTCAGCATAGTGTATTTAAAAAATATCAATTTTATAAAATTTAGTTTAATTTTATTTTTCCGATTATATCATTATTATAGCAATAGCAAAACAAAATGAACAACAACAACGCTAAACGAAATAAACACAAAAAAAAAACAACATACACAAGGCAGTAAAACAAACAGAAATCCAAACATACGAAACTGAATACACCAAGAAAACAAAAACAATATACACAAGGCAATGAAACAAACAGACATCCAAACATACGAAACTGAATACACCAAGAAAACAAAAACAATATACACAAGGCAATGAAACACACAGACATCCAAACATACGGAACGAAATACTCAAAAAAAAAAAAAAAAAGCGTGAAAAAACAAGTAAGAGTGCTATACCAAGAAACAGAAACAATATACACAAGGCAATGAAACACACAACCATCCAAACATACGAAACTGAATATACCAAGAAACAAAAACAACATACACATGGCAATGAAACACACAGCCATTCAAACATACGAAACGAAATAATCAAAAAAACAAAAACAAAATACACAACGCAATGAATAAGCAGTGTTGTTGCTTATTTATCAAAGCATGAAAAAATTGTCTTTTTTAGAAATTTTCAGAGGTTGTCTCGGGTTTTTACTTATATCTCCGTTGTTGCATGTCTGATAGAATTATTGAAGATTTGGATCCAGAAGATATGTGGGGTCTTCAGAAAACTGATTTCAACAGACAGACAGACGGACATGGCTTAATCGACTCCGCTAGGGTCGGAAAGTTATATTTCGGAAATTACAAACGGAATGACAAACTTATATATACCCTTCTCACGAAGGTGAAGGTTATAATTAAACCTTCTTTAATGTCAAAAAATATAAGTGTAATAGCCCATTTAGACCACTATGAAATCTAGCATTTATGAGATTTCGAGCCAAATCTATTTGATTTTAACTAGATTTCCCATACCAAACAAAATATACTTCGTAAGTAGATTTCGGCAAAATCTTCTCAAAATCTAATTGGTTGCAACTCTGTTTTTTCTTAACTAATACTAAAAAATACGACGCTGCAACTTCCATAATTCAAATAAAACATCGACTTTCGACGTTTTGCAGTATGTGCATGAAAAGTCGACTCTTCGACTTTTACAATTTTAAGTTATCGACTTTCCACCTTCCCAAGTATCTAGTCGGTATTTATATTGCACGGAAGGATTTTTTAATCCTTAATATTTTAATCCATATTACAAGGAGTATTTTGCGCGACACTCGCTAGATCCTATACAGTTCACCAGCAACGATTTTACTGACCATTTTGGAAGAAGCCAATTTTCCAAGGATCTGCTCTACCGATTTTTTGCACGGAAGGATTTTTTCAATCCTTACCATGTCTCCTAACATATTCCAAAGAGTTTTTGGCGCGACACTCGCTAGATCCTATACAGTTCACCAGCAACGATTTTACTGACCATTTTGGAAGAAGCCAATTTTCCAAGGATCTGCTCTACCGATTTTTTGCACGGAAGGATTTTTTCAATCCTTACCATGTCTCCTACCATATTCCAAAGAGTTTTTTGCGCGACACTCGCTAGATCCTATACAGTTTACCAGCAACGATTTTACTGACCATTTTGGAGGAAGCCAATTTTCCAAGGATTTGCTCTACCGATTTTTTGCACGGAAGGATTTTTTCAATCCTTACCATGTCTCCTAACATAATCCAAGGAGTTTTTGGCGCGACACTCGCTAGATCCTATACAGTTTACCAGCAACGATTTTACTGACCATTTTGGATGAAGCCAATTTTCCAAGGATCTGCTCTACCGATTTTTTGCACGGAAGGATTTTTTCAATCCTTACCATGTCTCCTAACATAATCCAAGGAGTTTTTGGCGCGACACTCGCTAGATCCTATACAGTTTACCAGCAACGATTTTACTGACCATTTTGGAGGAGGCCAATTTTCCAAGGATCTGCTCTACCGATTTTTTGCACGGAAGGATTTTTTTAATCCTTACCATGTCTCCTACCATATTCCAAAGAGTTTTTTGCGCGACACTCGCTAGATCCTATACAGTTTACCAGCAACGATTTTACTGACCATTTTGGAAGAAGCCAATTTTCCAAGGATTTGCTCTACCGATTTTTTGCACGGAAGGATTTTTTCAATCCTTACCATGTCTCCTACCATAATCCAAGGAGTTTTTGGCGTGACACTCGCTAGATCCTATATAGTTTACCAGCAACGATTTTACTGACCATTTTGGATGAAGCCAATTTTCCAAGGATCTGCTCTACCGATTTTTTGCACGGAAGGATTTTTTCAATCCTTACCATGTCTCCTAACATATTCCAAAGAGTTTTTGGCGCGACACTCGCTAGATCCTATACAGTTCACCAGCAACGATTTTACTGACCATTTTGGAAGAAGCCAATTTTCCAAGGATCTGCTCTACCGATTTTTTGCACGGAAGGATTTTTTCAATCCTTACCATGTCTCCTACCATAATCCAAGGAGTTTTTGGCGCGACACTCGCTAGATCCTATACAGTTCACCAGCAACGATTACAGTTCACCAGCAACGATTTTTAGAGGAATCTAATTTTACAAGGAACTATAGTTCCAAGACTATATATAGTCTCGATTCCATTTTGAGTTTCCCATCTCTTTCCATTGAGTTTTCCAAGGTATTTTTTATTAGCTAAGCAATTTATTTTTCCCCTGTGGTGTTGCCACTTAATTCCCAAAATTTTCTCTGCCGTTGCTATCTTTCGTTGCTAACTGGACGGACGTTAATTTTTGTTATTTTATAAAGTTTAAATAATTAAAATCATTTATAAAACAATATGAGACGACGAGCGGGACTAGGAGCAATACAACAGCAACAATTTGCTGCTGAAAAGTATAAAGACAAGGGCACAGATATACAGGAATCTCAATTGGAACAAATGTCGAAGCAAATGGAAGTATTTCGGGAAAAACTAGAAGAATTTGCAATTAAACATAAGCAGGATATTAAAAAGAATGCACAGTTCCGTAAGCAATTTCAAGAAATGTGCGCTGCCATCGGTGTAGATCCTTTAGCAAGCGGTAAAGGTTTTTGGAGTGTTCTTGGCATGGGAGATTTTTATTATGAACTCGGTGTCCAGGTGGTGGAAGTATGCTTAGCATCAAATCATAAAACCGGTACGAGTTAATGTGGTATATAATGAAAAGTCTATGCATATTCAAAACATTATAGTTGGTGCAAAGTAGTTACAATTTATAAGGACTAATAAAGATTTTGTTTGACGATTTAGTCTTATCTCTGCTAATTTTTTAGGAGGCCTTATGGAATTGAATGAACTGAGAAGCCGTTTAATTGCTGCTAGGGGTCAAAGCTCAATTCATCAGGAAATAACAAATGAAGACATATTAATGGCTACGAAGAAGCTTAATATTTTTGGTAATGGGTAAGTAATTTTAGTACAAAAGGACATACATATACGTCTCTAAACATATTATCATGATATTTTTAAAAAATAGATGCATTTAGTGTCAAATAGAATTACTAAGGAAAGATTTTTGAATTTCGGATACTAAGGGATAAAAAGGGAAAAAGAAAAGAAAATGACATTGAATTTTTTTGTAATATAACTGTTATGATTTCAACAGTTTGTATAAAATTCTATATTACCAATCTTGGGTAAATAATTTGGTAATTTTCTTTTAGCAATGGAAATCTGCAATTAGTCTTTTTTGTTGATAGAGTAATGAGCATGACCTTTTAAATATTAGTTCAAAATCTTTTCCAAATTCCTTATAAAATTCGAATTATTCCATTAAATCAGATAGTCAAATTTATTTGCAATTATGAACAATTTCTTATCGGGATTTCATAATGGATATATAGGAGAACAATAATCAAAAAGTCAATAAATTTTATGCTCTAGACGTAGCTGCTATTCACACTCGATGGATTTCAGGAAAAACGCAATTATTAGTCTATAAATATATAAATATTTTTATTAACTAAATCCAAAAACATTAAAATATACTGCTGTAATTTTCTATAGTTTTGTTGTTCATAAACTTGGAAAAGGAAAATATATTGTACAATCCATACCCGGCGAATTGAGTATGGAAGAGACAACAATTCTCACTGTTGCATCTAATAACGAACAAGGCTACGTAACTCTTACAATTTTAATAGAACAATTGGGGTATGTTATCCTAATACAGAAATAATCAGCCTTATTTTAATAAACACATTTATTTAGATGGCCTGATTATCGAGCACGACAATCCTTGGAAAAAGTTGTTAGCGAAGGTCTTTGTTGGATTGATGATCAAGCTGATGATGAACGGCGTTATTGGTTTCCTAGTTTATTTCCAGCTCGTACAACACAAACAACAAATGCTTAATTAATACTTAACACAATTTTTCCATCATTTCATATTTAGGCATAGAATTATTATAAAGAAAATATTAAAACAATAAAAAAAATTTATTTATAAAAAGAATAACAAATATTTTTTCTAGATTTTATAAAAAATAAAAAAAAGTAATAATAATAATTAAGATTTACAGATTTTATTGAGATATTAAAAATTTGTGTGTAAGAACTTCTCACATTTTTCATTTACTTTTTCGCTATGATTTTTTTTGTAATTTAAATGCTTGGTTTTCAGCTTTTAAGCGGGCCACTTCATCTTGCAAATTATAAATTTTCTTTTCAAAATTTTCAGTTAAATCATTAAGAAACGTTTTGTACCTATTAAAATCCATTAAATAGGTTAAGTACTTATAAATATATTAATTTCATTAATAAAATTTCATTTACCTCTCCTTTAAAACACGATTAGTTTTAACGTAATGTTGTATCTCACTTTCCTGATCAGCTGAGCGTCTAGTTCATAAAAAATTATTTTTAAAAAGCTATGTAATATTTTTTCACAATTAGCACTTACTTTTGAAAATTAGCTTGTTGGTTTTGAAATTCTAGTTGCTTTATCTTTTCCTCCATTTCATACTAAAGTTTTGAAATATGTTACTTATTATCGTATAAATCTTATTATATATTATATAAAATTTACCAAAGTTTTAGCAGTTTGTTCCAATTGATCTGATAAATTAGCATTTTCCTTAATGGCATCTTTATATTTTTGTTGAAAACGATTACATCTCGTATCCAATATTTGTATAAATTTTTTTTGATTTTGTATTTCACCATTAAGTTTAGATTTTTCCTCATTTAAGAGCCTTTCTTTGTCGATATATTTATTCTTTATTGCCTCCATATCTTTTTCCACTTTACGTGCAGCCTCATCCATTACCTGTCCTATTGTAGATGCTATGTTGTCACATTCTTCCTTTACAACTCTTTCTCTTTTTAAAGCTTCTTCTTTATCGGCTACTGCTGCTTCGGCTATGTTTAAAGCCTCTTGTACCTTTTGTAAAGCACTCTGTTCTCGTTTAAGTCTCTCTTCTATAGATTGTCGCGAGATTTTCAAAGACTTTTGCAATTCTTTGTTATGCCGTTCGGTTTCATCAAGTTGTTCCTGAAGTTTATCAATAGATTCCTTGGAACCGGCCAATTTTTCAAGTTCTTTTGTTTTATCTAAATATAAACATTTTTTACAACGATGAATACACTATTAAAAAATGTTTACCTTCGAGGGATTTCTCTACTTTTTCAATACGATCTCTTAGAAGTTTTTTCTGCTCAAACAAATTTTCTATAGTTTGTGACTGTTCTTTTAACTCAGTTTTTTGACTAATTATAGTGCTCTCTAGTAATTTAATGGCAGTGGCAAATTTATGTTTTACCTTAAAGAAAAAGAAATATAAATCTTTCTAATATTCACGGTTCAAATTTCCACAATTTTCAACTAGTTAATAAACAAACAATCCTGTTCCTCAGGGTACTCTGATATCATAGCTCTACAATACTACTGTATTATAATGCTCTGATATCATATCTGATATACATACACTTATATACACTTACTTCACAAACTGAAGTTGTATTAAAAAGTTGATTACGGTAGTTTTGAATTTCTTTTTCAAGATTATTTATAGTCTTCTGAAATGTTTTATTCAGAGATCGTAAGTCGTTGTTTTCCTAAAAAAATAATAATTAAAATATGATACTGATGATTAAATTTTTTATACCGCTTGCAAATAATCAATTTGTTTTTTAACATTTTGAAATGCTTCATTGGTTAACTTTTCTCTAGTAGCATCATCTCTCGACTCGCCACTTGTTTTTAAGGCTGATGGAGCAATAGTACTCGTAGCACTTTTTAACACTTCTAGGTGTGTATTTATCCGATTATTTTCAGCTACAATCTCCCGAATTTGTTTTTGAAGCTGCTGCTGTTCATTCTGCATATGGTCAGATTATTTGTTTGTTTTAAAATAAATATAAAATAAAACTATGAATATAATGATTGAATACAAATATTTTGACAACACACCCGAAAAATTTCTATGTCACACTGAGTTTCCGTAATTAATTTTTCACAGCATTTTGTGATTTCATTTAAGTTGCTACATATTCAAAAAAGAAAGTACAAAAAGTTATTGTACAAAATAATTATTTTTGGGCTACTATTGTAAATGTACTTGGAATAATAGTTTCCTAAACTTGTCTTTGTTTCCATTTCTCATTAGATTTTAAAAGGTTGTTATTTAAATGTATGCACTTGTGATTATTATAAGTAAAAACTTACTATACTGGACAATTGCACCTGTTTGTGTTGTTTGGTCAACCCCAATTGCACAACTATTGGTCAAAATATGTTGCCATGGTTTTAATTAAATATATACATACTTTAAAATAAAATTAGAGCATTTAACAACGTCAGTGATAAATAAAATAATTAAAAGAAAATAATGCCTTTATTTAATAAAAAATTCGAATCAAAACCTATTCCACCGCGTATATCTAGAAATAATAATTCATGTCCTATGGTCAACGAAGAATTAGACGATTACAAGCAAATTATTCTAAATTTGGGTAATAAGGAATTACGCTTCGCTGATGGTATTTGGATTTATGCTGCCCGCAAGGGAGATGTTGATGATGTTGTTCGTTTAAATCGTCGCTTAAAGGCTTTGGAGGAGGAGAACAATATGTGTGATTTGAAAATTGAAGTGTTGCTTGATCTTCTTGCTGAACATGCTACAGAGTTAAATTCTTTAAAGAAAATTAATTAAATATTGAAAAAATGTGAAATAAATATATGTAGGTACATATATGTACATTAAACCTAATTTTCTCGTCCGTAATCGATTTATTCAAGAACTACGCATTAAATTTGAACAAACATTGTATACATATTTCAGCAGGACGTTATTAGTGTTCCTGTATTTTTATAATTTATATACATACATATGTTCATACTAGCTATACCCATTGTGCTTTGTTACCCTAAAATCTATATAAAGTGGGTTTCTTACTTTACCATTTTTAAAGAATCTAGCTCTAACAGTTTTCGAGGTATGAATTTTTATATATGAATTTTTGTGTTTAGTTAGAGTGGTACCAAGGTCCCTTATGAAAGTCCGCCGATTTTTCTTTCAAATATTCACATGGATGTTAAAGTCCTTCGTGCAAAATTTTACGATTCTAACAGTTTCCCAGATAAACGAATTTTTGTATTTAATTCCTATGGAAAGTGCCATGCCCTCAGTTGCTAGTCCGTCCATTTTTTTCCTCAATATTCATGTCGATACTAAAGTGGATTCGAAAAAAATTGAGGAATCTATCTGTTATATTTTCACAGATATACTAATTTAAGATTTTCTTTGTGTGGGAGGTACCACGCCCACTGTAGCTAGGCTGCCCATTTTACCAACATGTGGATGACAAAGTTGTTTCTACAAAATTTCAGGATTCTGGTTGTTGTTGTTTCTGAGATATGCGACTTTTAATACTTATTTTGTATGTAAAGTCCAAACATACATACATACATACATACATACATACATACATACATACATACATACATACATACATACATACATACATACATACATACATACATACATACATACATACATACATACATACATACATACATACATACATACATACATACATACATACAGTTATATATTAGAAAGCTACTGCAAAAACCATCGTAACGGCCATTAAAATATGCATATTAGGGCGGCCCCGTCGATATGAAGAAAAAATTATGTGCTAATGGTTCAAAGGAAATTGTGTTCAAGCCTATTCTATTCTGTTGGATTAAAAGTCAAAATTCATAGAATAAACTAATTAATAATATTTTTAGTTCAAAAAGTCCAATTTCTAATTTAATACAGTTAAAGTTGTATGCCATTTATATTTAAGAATAATCCATCCATTTATTTATCTTTATATACCATTTTATACTGAATGTCTGTTACTAAGAAGAAGATCATATTCATAGCCGCTGTTTTACAACACTGTATTTTCTTCTGTCATCGTATTATCATCATCATCGAATAATAGAAAAGTTGCTCCTGCAGACGTCCAGTTAAAAAATGCCCAAGAAAAAAACAGGACAACGGAAAAAGGCCGAAAAACAGAAATTGCGGCTTAAAGAAATTCGCAGTCGAGAAATACCACTTGCCGATTTGCCATGCAATGCACCGATGGAATGTGATAAATGCGAACGTAAGCAAAAATCAAGAGCATTTTGTTATTTCTGCCAATCATTGCAACGCTTACCAATATGTGCCCAGTGTGGCAAAGTCAAGTGCATGCTAAAGACTGGAGACTGTGTTGTCAAACATGCTGGCGTTTATACCACGGGCCTTGGAATGGTGGGCGCAATTTGTGACTTTTGCGAAGCATGGGTGTGCCACGGCCGCAAATGCTTGCAGTCACACGCTTGCACTTGCCCACTCCAAAATGCTATTTGTTTGGAATGCGAAAGAGGCGTATGGGATCATGGCGGTAGAATTTTCAAATGCTCATTTTGTGAGGGGTTTTTATGTGAGGACGACCAATTTGAGCATCAAGCTTCGTGTCAAGTCTTGGAGAGTGAAAACTACAAATGTCAGTCGTGTAATCGTTTGGGACAATATTCATGTTTACGTTGTAAAACTTGCTATTGTGAAGATCACGTAAAGCGCAAAGGCTTTAAGTATGAAAAGAACAAGCCAATACCATGTCCAAAGTGTAATTACGAAACATCTGTCACAAAGGACTTGAGTATGTCTACACGGTCGCATAAGTTTGGACGTCAACAGCAAGGTGGCGCTTATGGAGATAGCGATGATGATTACGGTGGCGGTGGTTTTTATAGTTATGGAGGGGGTGCTTCAACTTCTGGTTACGGTCAAGATGAATATGAAGACGACGACGATGATGATGAAGATGATGATGACTATGAAGAAGACGAGTCGGATGAAGAAAGTGAAGAATCGCAAGCTAGCGAAGAGGATGAAAAGAAAGAACAAAATGTTGATAGCAGCAAAAAATCATCATAAGTCATTAAAATAAAATTATGCAAGTTTGATATTTGGAAAAAATTGTGTTTATTTTATTGGTTGCATTTGAATAAATACAGTGTTGAAAAATGAGTTTTGTTATTTTCTTATAAATCTGGCATCACGTTCACACACTTCACACGTGCATTAATAGTTCATTTAACTTTCGCGTACATATTTTATTTATTGTGTTGTTTTCCAAAAGATGGAATTATTTACGTCAACACCTGGATTCTGCCCTACTTGTGGTTCCATATTACCACCTTTGGATAGTTCTAAGGATGTAGTCTGTTATAACTGTAAAAAATCGTATAAAGCTGATGGTATTCAATCTACAATATATTTATTTCATGTTAGTATTGTAAGCTAATCGAAAATATTTCTAGTTTTTGGTGATCAAATTGTCGAGTATACAATTCATTTCAACAACTACGACCCCGAAAAGGTCATAAAAACGAAACAGGAAAAAGATTCAAGTCCAGATGGTCCAGTTGTAGAACGTAAATGTCCCAAATGTGGTCACGATAAGATGTCATATGCTACACTACAATTACGATCGGCCGATGAAGGACAAACAGTATTTTTTACTTGTTTAAAATGCAAGTAAGTTTATTATGTTATATCTATTAACCTAATTACTAAATTAAAAATTTGAGAAATATGTATGTACATTACATTAACATAAAGTAGCGCTTGGGTTAACCTTCCCAAAATATACTTTGTTAAGTCGTATATTGTTTCCCAAAATGTTTAAGAGTTAGCGTTGTCCCTTCGTGAGATATACCGTTTTAAGAAAATATCATAAAGGGGAATATATTATACATTGATGTTTAATTTAGAAGTGTATTAGGCTTTTGGGAATCATTATAAAATAAACAAAGTTACATTTGGAGAAGGGTAACAAAAACACGACTTTGGTTTTCATACTGAGTGACAAATCTCACATTTCAACTGAAGCATTATAAACATGAAAACCAAAATATGCATGTATTACGGTTTGTCGTATGGACTCATGGACAATATTATTACACGTATAAGAATAAATTAAGATGGCATCGATATCTTAGCACATATTTTGGCCAAAAGAGCATAATTATACCGACCATCAAAAAAGATTGGGGGTATATTGATTTTGTCATTCCGTTTGTAACACATCGAAATATTGGTCATAGACCCATGTCTGTCTTTCCGTCCGTCTGTTGAAACCACGAAAGAGTCCGAACGGAGCGAGATAGAGGATTGAAATTTTCCACAAATATTCTCTATAGGTAATGTTTCTATGGTATTAAAAATGGGCAATATCGGTCCACGTTTTCGGATAACCCCCATACAAGTGGACCCCCGAAAAATAGCATTAATGGGCATATCTGTTTCAAAAGTACGAATATAGCGAATTCGGCATAAATAAGTTTCATTTGATCCAAAAGCACCCTACCAAATAAATGAATAAAATAAATTTTATATGGATTGGTCCATAATTGACCCTACCCCCCATATAAGGCCCCTTCAGAAAATTGGTTTAACGCTCATTGCTGGCTTAAAAATACGAGTATAGTGATGCAATTCGACACACATAAGCTTCAATGATGCAAAAATCTCTCTATCAAACTTTATGTGGATCGGTCCATAATTGACCCCATATAAGGTGCCCTTCAAAAAATTACTCGACTGTGTTTTAAAACTGGTGATTTTAGTAGCTATTACTAATCCTTTAAATCTGATTAGTCCAGGAAACAAGGGAATTATCGCTAACATTTACAAATTTTAAATTTCATTACATAATTTTGCATTTTGTATAAATAATTTAAACCATTATTAATTATTGTAATAACTTTTTTATTTTCAGATTCAAGGAGTCAGAAAACTCGTAGTTTAATATTTAGTTCTATACTTATCAAAACAAAAAACAATAATTTTTTTTTATTAAAATTCTGTACATATATTTTTATTTGAACTCGAAATATAACATAAAATAAAGTGAGTAATAATAAATTATTATAAACTTAAACGAGTGTTCCAAGTCTTTTTGCAACTAGGACATGTAGACTTTTTTATTAAATATTTTCGTATACAATCGCGATGAAGCTTTACTTCACATTCTGAACATTTTACATCCTAAAGACAAATATATAAATTATTTAAAGCTAATCGTTAATATATAATCTGTAACTCACCCAGTAAACAATTTTATTGCATAAAACACAATCGGTAATAACATCTGAAAAATTATTTTTTAAATATTTGCCATACTCAAGCATAGTACGAGGACCGAAGTAAATTTTATCTTCAACCGCCAAAAAATAGCCTTGAGACACCCAGATGTTCTCCAGTTCTTGTATACGTTCTTTCGATAACGGATGTTGAGCATTTGCTGGTAATTGATTGGCTACGGTGTATATATTATTCCATTCAATACCATAATCATCACTACTTGCCAAAGTTTCTAAGAGTTTGTAGAAATATTTTCGTTCAGTATCAGTATAATTTGGTTGAAATTTACAAGCCTGATTGGTTAACAATAGAGCAAATACCAAATATTCTTGACCATTCAATGGATGTTTAACAAATTGTAATGTCTGATCATATTTTCGTATTTCTGTATCGATTTCAACAATTATTCCTTTTATAGCATTCAATTCGGTAGGTTGATGAAGATCGTCTGTAAATTAAAATCTTTAAATGATATGTTTATGATAGGATATTTTATAGTTAAATGCTTTTCCAGGCATATTAGGAGACCTTTAAACATATAACATACTTAGATACGTTTGAGATTGCCTACAGTGCATAACAGAAACAAAAGAACAGATTTCGCAGAAAATAAGTTCAAACACTAGTTTGGACAAAACATGACATGACATTCCCCGACAGCCGGTTTTACGTACCAAGGGCTGTAAACCCCAGCAACTACACACAAAACATGGCTGATGCCTTCAACAGTAAGTGGACATGCTATCGTTACAAGCTATTTTCTCCAATGAATTTAAGGACTAATCCAGTGGAAGTAGCACAATTTTTATTTATAGGTATAGCCTTCACTACAACTTACATGCATCACAAAGCGCGAAAACAATAGTTTTGACAGTATCCATAGGCATAGAACCATAGTTTATTGACGCTTGCAGCAATTGTTTTTTAACTTGTTCCATATTTTTAATACTATTTCATCGATTTCTATAAAACTTGATGTTGCGGCAAACAAAAAATATTAAAGTAAACAAAGTGTGATGATGCCATATTTAATTAGGTATAAGAAACCAGATGGTTAAAAAAAATTGCGCTGCCAGATTAATATAAAGCAGGGTTGTTAAAATTGTTTAAAAACGTGCCGTTATTTTTATTTAATTTAAAACTAATCCATAAATTCATAATATTCTCAATGAAAATAGTCATGTTTTGTGGCCTGCAAAAAATAATTAAAAATTATATATATTATTTTCAAAAATGTAAAAACAAAATTACAACTTACTTCAGAAGCTTTTAAACGATTTTTGGGGTTATAAACAACAAGATTGGATACCAAGTTTATTTCAACTGCATGCGTACAACTAGGAAAGAGATTATCCCAATATATACCCACTGCATTAGGAAATCTTAAGAATATAATTTTTTTAATAAATTAAAAAAACAAAAATTATTGATATTTATTACCTAATTTTATTGTAATCAGGCAAAGATGTTAAATCTGGCCATTCGTTTAAGCGTGGAGTACCTAATGTACGAATGACTAAAGCCAATTGTTCAATATCGGTGGTGCCCTATGTAAAGAAATAAATTAGTTTTAATATTATATTTATATTACATATACACATTAGAGTGATCCAAGCTTGTATGAAGGAAAAATATTTGTCCGACAGGCCGTTTCCCCTTCTATAATTGTTCTTTGGGTTGTAAAACTTTATATCATGAAAAAATTATGCTGATAGGATAACGTTAACAGGCGACGCAACGACTCTGAAGTTATTAAGTGCATTTATAAGGGGAAAAATCGATTTTTTGCCAGTTATTGCTCAATTTTTATTACATCTGGGAAACCATTAGAACTAGAATCCTCAAATTTCGCACGAAGGATCCTGTCATAAATTTGAACATTAATAAATTGGCATACAATAGGGGGCTTGGCACGACTCATATGAAGAAGCAGCTGCCTTGAATCCATATTTCAGGGCTGAGCTATTATCTATAAGTTTGGAGTTTTTCTCAAAATGACGGATTTTATTTGTAAAAATAGAAAGCAACAAAATACCGTTTTTCAAAAACTACAAAAATGAAAAATATTTGGATGTAAAATTGGGAAAATTTTAATTTTTTATAATAAATTTTGGACTGAAAAAGAGTATTTTGATGATTCTTATATCATTCCCAATATTAACTCAATTGGAACAAACAATATGTTATTGCTATTGGAACAAAATTTACCAAAAGTGAAAAAAAATTAAAAATACGTTTTTAATAAGTGTCGCCTTATTTTTAGAAGCATTAAAAATCTGATATTTCGATACCAAAAATAAATCACATTCTTCCTATGACACGCTTATTTAAATATCATTGTTTTTTCACCAGTGACTTTTCTACATAATTTTCCTTATTTTTATCTGGGGTTTAAGTTATAAGGAATTCTTGAATTATTAAAATATGCAATCGAAAAATATGTAATCGTATTTTAAGGTGTGATTAAGATACCAATTATAAAGTATGACTTCCATTATTTTTTGCTGGGAAGAAATGAAAAACTCTGCGATCATAATTAATTCTTTATCTATGAAGTGGATTAGATTCAATTAAGAAAACACTGAAAATCTGAGTAACATAGAATATGAGTAAAATATTAGTTAAAATTCATTGATTTATATACTAAACCATAAAAAAAATTTGTTTAAACTTACTGCGAATAATGGTACACCTCTTAACATTTCCGCAATAACACAACCAGCCGCCCACATATCAACTGGAGGACCATATTTTTGACTACCCCACAATATTTCGGGAGCACGATACCATCGTGTAGAAACTTGTGGTGAATATAATCTTGATTCTTCCTCAGGAAAATACAGTCGCGCCAAACCAAAGTCAGAAATTTTTAAAACTTCATTTTCGCTTATCAATAAATTGGCAGGTTTAATATCCTAAAAATCGAAAAGTTTTAAAAATAATAAGTGAAAAATACATAAAGTTATAATTGGGGACAGGTGAAATAAGTTAAATTATTTATACTAACTCTGTGAATTATATCCAAACTATGAAGATATTCAATGCCATTTAACATCATTAAAGAAAATTTGCGCACTTGTTGTCTACTTAAGGGATTTAGTTCATTTTTTAATTTACCATATAATGTTTCTGGCATATATTCCAGTACTAATGATAAACCAATAAGATCCGGAAATAAATCTAAAATATTGATAATCTGAAGAAAATCATAAACTATAAATTTATGGATAGAACACCAACACGGAATAAATAATACTCACATATTCACATTTTGATAATTGCAAGGTTTTTATTTCACGTAAAGTATTTAGGGAAATGTTACCGAACTTATTTTTTAAAGCTACCTTTTTAATGGCAACTGTACGATTACGTTGTAAATCTAAAGCTTTAAATACACAACCATGAACACCTTCACCGATTTTTTCCAACATTTTGTAACGACTTGGAGCGTAATCTTCCATTTTAGTTATTCCTTATGAAAACTTCAATTTACACTATTTGTACCAGTTGTTTGGTATATAAATGTGAACATATGTATGTATGTAAATGTTTGACCAATTGTTGCCAATGACAACCGAATTGTTGTTATTTAATTTTACAAAATGTTTCTTTTAGCGGTATAATTTTGACATTGCATGTATTTTTATTGCTTTGTTTTTATAATATTTGTATTTAAGGTCATAGACCCCAATGCAAAACCACCCTTCCGATATCTTACATTTGTTTACCACTTACCGTTATCACAACAAAGGGCAAAAAAAGTATCCACAAGTAATAGTGAATGAAATATTGTTTGTTTATAAACAAACCTGTTGCGAAATGTCAATATTTCACGCATGCCAATAGGTTCCTGCCAAAGTATATTAATAAAGTAGCGACATCTCTTGTTGTACAACAACATCTACAACAACCACATGTATTTTGTTTTTGGAATAATTTAAGATTGTGTCAAAATAAAATTTCCTTGAACAACAATGTGAACAAAACATAAATAAAAAATATTACTTTTAAGTTAAAAATATTAACGATTTAATTATATTATTATATATTATACAATTTATTACACTTTTAAAATACTTTAAAACCACTTTTAATTCACTTTTTCAACTTTTCACAAATTTTAACAAATAGCAAAACACAATTTAAAAATGGCGACGTAAACAATGTTAACAATTTTCAAAACAAACTTTGACAATTTGCTTCATTTATCTAGTTTAAAAAAAATAGTCAGCTGTTCAAGTGATGCTACTTTATTAATTTACTTTGGTTCCTGCCAAGGAATTTCGTTTTTTCTTTAACTGTCATCTGTCATAGTTGTCACTTTATAAGGATACACAATTTTCATTCGACTGCAAAAATTTGTCATTTTGTTAGAGTAAAATTATTCAATAAAAATGATTTTAAATAAATTTTAATTCACAATTGTAAGTAAATCTTAAATCTTATATTTTATAAAATAAATAATATTTGCTGATTTTTAATTAAAATCGTTTCCAATATACAATTTATAATATTAATTTATATTTTGTGAATATAACATAGCGAAAAATCAATATAAATTGAAAATAATTAATTCAAATTATAACCTTGGGTTTTTCTTTATGAATGAATTACAAGTACATAAATTAGTTTCAATATTATTTTATACGATAGGAATAGAAAAGTTTTTCTATTAAAAAAAGTCTACGTTAAATGGAAATTTGCACAACAAAAGTTTTTCGATTTGATGTTTATTATGTATATAAAAATCGATTTTGTTTAAAAATTAAAAAGATCACAATTTTTTATTAAATTCTTCAACGGGTCTATGTAGGTATATTATGTGTATGTGCCAATTGTGCCAACTTGAAACATTGCACACAAGATTTACATGGAAAACCGTACATGATTATTTCAATTGTAGTTTTACATAATGATTTGTATTTCAAAATTCTTTAATCCGATCGATTTTTACATATTTGTTTGTTTTGGTAAAGATTCTTCCAATTAAAATGAGATATCGTTTGTTCCAATTGATTAGGAATGATATGCTTTTTTTAAATATAATAAAAAATAAACAAAATACCCTTTTTTAGTACAAAATACTTAGGAAGGGTTTGCTGCTGTAACATGATAAACCACTCAGTTTTATGTGCTAATTTCATTGCCATATACATACATACATACATTCATACATACATACATACATACATACATACATACATACATACATACATACATACATACATACATACATACATACATACATACATACATACATACATACATACATACATACATCTGGGCTATCTCCGCCAAAAATATTTTCATTAAATTTTAATATTATTTCATAAAATTTTATAATTTTCAAAACTTTTAAATCGTTTTTCTCAATATTTTTTCGTCTCCGATTTTCGGAGTATATTAAAAATTCTAAATATGGTGTTGTGATCTACTAGACCTTCAATCAGTACAAGGCACGTATAGAGAATATTCACTTTTTGTAATTTTGTCAAACCGTGTAATTAGTTGATAATGTTTCGAATTTAATATGATTTTGTTCTATAATTACAGATAAACAAAAATATCCATTATGCGTAAATTTGCACTGATATTTTATATACTGTTGTTGGCATCTGTAAATGACACAAATGCCAGAACGGCCAAACGTTCCGATGTCTATATAGCTGGATTTTTTCCCTATGGCGATGGTGTTGAAAATTCAGATACTGGACGTGGTGTTATGCCAAGTGTAAAATTAGCATTGTCACATGTCAATGAACATCCCAGAATATTGACAAACTACAGATTGCACATGTGGTGGAATGACACTGAAGTATGTGAATATTATAACATATTTCTTAAATTTAAATAATATTAAATATTCTAATTTTATGTTTTAGTGTAATGCAGCAGTTGGCGTTAAATCCTTTTTCGATATGATGCATTCCGGCCCAAATAAGCTAATGTTATTTGGTGCTGCATGCACACATGTCACCGATCCAATAGCCAAGGCCAGTAAGCACTGGCATTTGACACAATTATCGTATGCCGATACCCATCCCATGTTTACTAAAGATGCTTTTCCCAATTTCTTTCGTGTGGTACCGTCAGAAAATGCATTCAATGCTCCACGCTTAGCATTGCTAAAAGAATTCAATTGGACTCGTGTTGGAACTTTATATCAAAATGAACCACGTTATTCATTGCCTCATAATCACATGGTGGCCGATTTAGATGCAATGGAATTGGATGTGGTCGAAACACAAAGTTTTGTAAATGATGTGAGTGAATCACTAAAGAAGTTAAGGGAAAAGGATGTTCGTATCATATTGGGTAATTTTAATGAGCACTTTGCACGTAAAGTCTTTTGCGATGCCTATAAGTAAGTAGATTTTTTATTCATAAATTTTCTAAACCTTTTAATCAGATATTATTTACACGAAATTGTGAATCTTTAGGTCTAAATTCTAGGTCTAAATCTATCTAATATTTCAAATTTATTTTCATTAGATTGGAAATGTATGGTCGTGCCTATCAATGGCTAATAATGGCTACATATTCTGGTGAATGGTGGAATGCTACCATAGATACTGAATGTACCGTTGAAGAAATATCTACAGCTTTGGAAGGTACAATCATGGTCGACTTATTGCCCTTATCAACGAGTGGCGACATAACAATTGCGGGAATCGTAAGTTATTCAACTAAAACCTTAATTTAAGTTTAGGTGAAAACTCTTTAAACATTTTAGACTGCCGATGAGTATTTATCTGAATATGATAGTTTGCGTGGAAATGAATATTCACGTTTTCACGGCTACACATACGATGGCATCTGGGCTGCAGCATTAGCCATTCAATATGTGGCTCAGAAGCGTGAAGATTTTTTAACTCATTTTGATTATCGTGTCAAAGAATGGGAAAGTGTTTTTCTCGAAGCTTTAAGAAATACCTCTTTTGAAGGTGTAACGGTAAATAATTAAAAATTTAAAGATTTTATTAAATTTTTTTAATTATTTTAAAATTTTAAGGGACCTGTACGTTTTTATAATAATGAACGTAAAGCTAATATATTAATTAGTCAATTTCAATTGGGTTTAGCTGAAAAAATTGGAGAATATCATTCGCAATTAAGTCATTTGGATTTGACTATGGGTAAACCAGTGAGATGGGTAAGTCAAATTTCTTTTATGCTGTTTTTATTTGTTTTTGCTTATATGAATATTTTAAATTTAAGGTTGGTAAAACTCCACCCAAAGATCGTACACTAATTTACATTGAACATAGCCAAGTTAATTTAACCATTTATATAGTATCGGCTAGTGCTTCTGTAATCGGTGTTATTATAGCCTGTGTATTTCTGGCATTTAATATTAAATATCGCAATCAAAGGTGAGATGTTTTTTTCATATAATTTCGTTTTCTTTTCTTGCTAAAATTGTATCTAAGTTTTGAAAAGGTTAGTCGAAAGTTCAACGTTTATTTAATATAATTATAGACTGATTCATTATGGACTGTTTCTTTAAACAATTAATATTTCCCCCATTGGAGGGTTATTTAAGGATCTACGGACGATTTTATGTTTCTTATATTATAATCGATTTTTGATGGGAAATATGAATGATCAGTGTTATTTAAGGATCTACGCCCAATTTAAAGTTTTTTATATAAAAATCAGTTTTAGGTGGAAAATATAAATGATGACAGATTTTACTATTTTTTCATTATGGACTGTTTCTTCCAATGGAAGAACAATTTAATAATTTCTCCATTGGAGCGTTATTTAAGGATCTACCTGCAGTTTAAAGATTCTTACATAAAACTTGATTTTTGGTGGGAAATATGAGTGATCACAGATTTTCACAATTTTCAAGAGAAGAAAACGCAATAAGAAAAAGTTTTTTAATTTCATGTAATTCTAATTTATTTCTTAATTCCTGTTTTCAGATATATTAAAATGTCCAGTCCACATCTAAATAATTTAATAATAGTAGGTTGTATTTTAACCTATTTGAGTGTAATATTCTTGGGACTGGATACAACATTGAGCAGTGTGGCAGCTTTTCCTTATATATGCACAGCCAGAGCATGGATTTTAATGGCTGGTTTTAGTCTGGCATTCGGTGCGATGTTTTCGAAAACATGGCGAGTTCATTCAATCTTTACAGATTTGAAATTAAATAAAAAAGTCATAAAAGATTATCAACTGTTTATGGTAGTGGGAGTATTGCTGGCAATAGATATAGCAATTATTACAACATGGCAGATTGCTGATCCATTTTATCGAGACACCAAACAATTAGAACCCAGAGTAAGAACTCAATTTTGTAAAAAAAATACATAAAATAATGTTTCTAATATTTTTAGTTACATGAACATATAGATGATGTCTTAGTTATACCCGAAAATGAATACTGTCAATCGGAACATATGACCATTTTCGTTAGTATTATTTACGCCTATAAAGGCCTACTTCTGGTAAGGTTTTTATATTATTTTCTTAGCATAACGCAATTACAATTATTTCATGTTATTTTTTTTATTAAATTTTTAGGTATTTGGGGCATTTTTAGCTTGGGAAACACGTCATGTTTCAATACCAGCTTTAAATGATTCAAAACATATTGGATTTTCGGTTTATAATGTATTCATTACTTGCATTGCGGGTGCTGCTATTTCTCTAGTTTTATCAGATCGCAAGGACTTGGTTTTTGTCTTACTCTCATTTTTTATAATTTTTTGTACAACAGCAACTTTGTGTTTGGTGTTCGTACCGAAAGTAAGACTGGTAGTAAGGAAGTTTTGTAGTTTTTTTTGTATATAACCTACTTTTTTTTTGGAACGATGGCGTATGCATAATCATAAAAACATTAAACAAATTGACACAAATACTGAATATTTAGTAAAACAAACATCATAAATACACACCTGCATGAATAGTTAAATCATGAAAAACGCATGGAGTGGGAAGCCAAAACTTTAAATGGTTGAATGTGTGTTTTTTTTTTGCAAAATACGATTTTATTGATTTGAAAAATATAGATACATGATATTGGCTTATAAACCCAATTGTCAATAATTATTTATTGTATGTATTTTTAAATTCACTGAAGTAGTATATTTTCCCTCCATGTATGATTCATTAAAGATTGAAATATTTTGTAGAACAAATTTTTGTAGGAATAACTCTCAAACGTTTTGGCAGATATGCAAACATTTCTTTGATTAAAATCTGCAATTAACTACCAATCAATATTAACTAGTATAAAGAAGTTTTCTTATAAAAAAAGATCTAAAACATTTCATAATTTTAAAACATTAATACTGAACACAATTTTATAATAAATTACATTAGATAATAGTTATATGATAATAATGACATTAAATATCATTTTTAGAGATTTATCCTTTACGTTGTATAAAATTGGTTATCTGCTTAAGGTTCATCGGCAATATGTACATAAAATGGAAAATTTGTACATATAAATGTGGACATTTATATCTTAACCATTAAAATATGGATTAAAAATGTTTATCTGATTACATCATTAACATCGTTTGAGATGTATTCTTACAAAAAATACCCAAAATGATATAAGTACCTCTTAAAACTCTATTTAAACTAATACCAATTACTTAATATATTAGTAAATATTAATTTTAATAACTCAATCTAGTTTTATTTTAATTAATAGCTTGTGTAACCATATCCTAAAAATCTATACATCTAAAAATTGCTTGCCTATTTTTCTTAGTATACCAAATTAATAACACTAATAAAAACTACTTTATAAAATAGCTCTAACTATTCATGCAAAAATATTTAAAACACCAATCTTAACAGCAATAAACAATTACTAATAAGTTTTTCTTTCCAATACCAAAAATAGCTCGTAGAAATGAAACGTAATCCTCAAGGAGTGGTCGACAAACGAGTAAGAGCTACACTACGACCAATGTCGAAAAATCGTCGCGATTCTTCGGTTTGCGAATTGGAGCAACGTTTGCGTGATGTTAAAAATACAAATTGTCGTTTTCGAAAAGCCCTGATGGAAAAAGAAAACGAGTTACAGGCTCTTATTAAGAAATTAGGACCTGAAGCTAGAAAATGGATAGATGGTGTTACGAGCGGCTCTGGTGGCGGTAGCATTGGAGGTGATACAGAACCGATATTGGGTGGTAGTAATGGTGGGGGTATGAATGATACATCCAGGCTATCAGCACCGCCTGTTCGAAGGGAAATGCCCAGTACTACTGGTAATATACATATACAAATATTTTTGAACATTTTTATGTAATAATTTAATATTATTATAAAAAATTTACAGAAATAACTGAACTAACATCGGTAGATAGTGTTACGTCCACACATGTTGAAATGGACAATACAGTAATATCAGTGCAATCAACTTCTGTTGCTCCATCATTGCCACCGTAAGTAATAATTCTGACGAATTAAAAGTTAATGCAAAATATTCACCCTTCTACAAATGGAGTGAAATTAAATAGATCAAAGTTACTATTACTACAGCATTAAAATATGTAACATAAAAATATCAATTTCTTTCGCTTCCATTTAACAGAACTGAAAGGTTTAAGATGTTCTATAGAAATAGATAAATGATTTGGTTATTTTCAATACTAAACAAGAAACTTTCTTTCAGTAAAAAGAATGTCAAACGCCAAGAGAGTATTGCCGTGCAATCAACTACGATAAAACCCCAACAAGTTATGCAACAACCTATACAACAACAGTTACAACAACAACTACAACAGCAAGCTCAATTTCAACAGCAGCAACAACAAGCAAAAATCTGTAACGATACCAGGCGTCATGTTGATAAACGTAATTCGGTCTCTGCTCAAACTGATGTCAGTATTGGCTCAATGTCTAGCTTAAAACGACAAGAGTGTAACAACATTCACCGTGACGAATCTAACTTAAGAGAGCGAAGACAATCAACAACATCTTCAAGGGTAATGTTTTTGTTTTTAAGTAATAAATTTATTTTAAAAAGCTTAAAAATTTCGAACAAAAGTTCAAATTTTCAAAAATTCAAATGATAATACCAATATGAATCCTCACGATCTGACATAAGTTAAAATTTTCGATTTTTTTTAAGTTACTATCCCAGCAAAAAAAATTTGAAGTTGTTAAAGAAGAAGGGATATTTTCATGATTTCTTTTGTACGTATTCTATTTAATGCGTTTTAAATACATGCCTAAATTCTAATAAATTTGTCATCAGTGAAGGCATGAAAAATGCACCCAAATTCACTCATGTAACTCCACTATAGGAATTGTAATATTTTACTATAATTTGGTATTCTCTTAGGAGATTTAACGAAAACGTGCATTTCATACAATAAATATTAAAAATTACATTAATTTTTTATTAGATTTTTGTTTTTGTAGGTACCTACCTACCTAGTAATATTAAGTCCATTTTAACATTAATAAGAGAAGGAAAAAACCAAGACTGTTTAACGGATTTTAAAACACAATGGGTATTTTTCCTCTGCATGAATTTAAATCCAATAAAAATCAGTTAGTTATGTTTTATCTTATTTTATTTTTATCAATATCACACAAAAAAATTATTTAAATATTGATAATTAAATCGAAATACCATTATTAATGCATTTTTAAATAAATATAGTGCACCAATGAAAATTCGCTTGAGAATCATCGAATATTCATTGGTTATAAGAACTCATTTAAATGGCGAACTATTTTTCCAAATACGAACACATGCATGCCAATGACACGCTAATGTTAAAATCATGCATGTTTCCCCTAAATATGAACCAGTTCATTATCAGTTCAACCCATGCATTTACTACTTTTTTTGCACGTCTTTTTTTGCTGGGATGGTATAGAGTTTATTTTAACACTTTTAAAAATATTTTATTATTACCCAGCAAAAAATAATTGATGTCATACTTTACAAACGACATCTTAATCACATCTAAAAATGCGATTGCATACTTTTCGCTTTTATAAACCAAACATATCCTTACAAATTAAAACACAGTTAAAAATGAGGAAAGAGATGTAGAAAAGTCACTACAAACATCATATTCGAAGTACTTCAAATTTTGATGAAAAACCTATGAAATTTACTTAAGCGTTCCTTGAAAGAATGTGGTTTATTTTTGACATACAAATGTCGGGTTTTTACAGCTTCTAAAGATAAGATTAAATGTAGTTCAAAGTTGTCAAAAATTAACAACATCCCTCCAATGACACGTTAATGTAAAATTCATAGGTTTTTCACCTGAATTTGAAGCACTTCGAGTTACTAGTTGTGATGAAAATTCTACATCTTTTTCCACACTTTTTTTGCTGGGTATTATTATTATAAAATGATTAAAAATTCATTTAAAAAAATCTGCTTTATTAAAATCTTACAATTTTAGCACTATGAAAATGGCACTCAAACACCGACAACAAGAACTAAATACTCGAATAATAATCACAGGAATTCATCAACAAATATATCAACGTCACAGAGTGAACTAAATAATGTTTGTCCACATGGAGGACACGGAAAAAACAATAATGTTGTCAAAAGTTAGTACTTATTACATAAATATAACGAACATTGAACGAAGAACTAAAAATGTTTCCATAATTTTTTATAATTTTCAAACTATAGCCCCAGTAGCATCAGACAACCGTCGCGTTAGTATGGGTTCAGCATTAAAATCAAATTTTGTTGTCTCGCAAAGTGATCTCTGGGATACACATACTCTGTCGCATGCCAAACAACACTCACGTCAGTCACCACGCAACTATGCTAGTCCTCAACGCTGCTCTGAGCACAGTCACATCATGCCATCAACATATGATCAAATGACATCACCCATACAACGTTCCGTATCGGAAAAGAATCGCAATAAACATCGACATAAACCACAAAAGGGTACAGTATGTCAGAGTGAAACGGATAGTGAACGAGAGCGAGAACCAACACCGCCCAGTACTCAATGTATACAACAACGTAAAGTAAATCGCACAAATATCCAACATGCAGCACATCATCATTCGTCACCAAATGTGGCACCCGACAAGCAACGTTCTAGTAAACATCGTGGTTTGAAAACCGATTCTTCGTCCATGTACGGCGCAAGTTCTGAGACGGAATTACTAGATGGTGAAACGGCTATATTGCCTATATTCCGTAAATTATTAACCGAAAAGAGTCCCAATTATCGCGGCCGCAATGTTGTCGGACAGAGTTGTCCTAATATATCAATTAAATGCGATATAGTCGAATATTTGTAATTATTTTATAAGCAATTTTAATAGAATTTAATTCAAGCTTTTTGTTTCTCAAATTAAACGTATTCAATTTGAAATAAAAACAAAATTAAAATTTTATCAAAATGCATGCAATTTCCTATAAACATAAAATAATTATATAATAGAGTTAAATTGATGTTTTAAAAACTAAGAAAAAATAAAATAAAATACGAATAAAATTATAACAAATAGAAAAAAAAAGTTTAAAAATAAAAAAATTAAAATTTTGCTCACGAATCATTTAGGGGTAGATTCAATTGGGTAATTTCATAAAATTTCGAAACAAAAATTCTGATTTTGACGAAATTTTGTACATATTTATATTCCTTATGGTCTAGATTTTTTCGAGGTTCAAAGTTCATATTTATTAAGATTTATTTCAAAACATTAAATATATATTTCAAACTATGTATTTTTCAAACTATGTAACCGATTTAAATTAGTCGCTGATTAAAGCCTATGTCTTGTAGTTTAATATTAATTAACTTTGAACGAAAATTATCTAAACCGTTATAAATTTGGAAATTTTGGAAAATTTTAAAGTCCGTATTATATTGTGGCTAGAGTCAAATGGGGACTGCTTTTGTCCATTTTCACACACATAGTGAAGGCGATTAACCAGATTCATGTAGAAATTCAAGAAGAATTCGTGAATGTAAGTTTAATAAGTTAAATTTACTGTCTAGAGGAATTGAAAACTTTCGGGATAAGTAAAGAAATGGATGAGTAACAAAATTAATAAATAGTTAATTATATTTCTTTATTTTTATTTTTTTGCATTTATTTTAAACGAAATACGTACGGAATATATTTTTTTTTTTATTTATCAACACAATTATAATTTTTTTTATTACTTTTAATTATACATATTTTAAAACACCTTTTATATAAGTGTAGTTATAATTTAAGTACATTTTATTATTATACGATTTTTGTTTTCTTTTTTCTTAAATTAAATTATTAGAATATACCAATGTATAAAGTGTTATACTCATATAATGTATAACAAATAATTGCCACATATAAATTTTCTAATACAACTTTATCACAGATTTTATTTATATTAGATTTACGTTTATTATATTCTGAATATTTTTCTATTCACTTAAACTAACAATTATTTTTTTTTTTTTAATTTACAGCAATTAATTACATTTAAAAAGTATAAAAAAAAATTAAATGCAATCAAAATGGAAATAATTAATGAAATACATTAAAAACGTAAAAAATAACACATTTAATTTTGGAATTTGAACGCTTTGACAATTTAGTTTGTAGTTTAATTCCTAAGGAAAATATTTCAAACCATAAGGTTGTGACACTGGACAAAGGTATTACACCTTGACTGCCTGCAATGGCTTGGCTGTAATAGTTTTTAAATGAAATTGTGGTGTAAGTCTGATGACCTAAGTCTGACACTAGTGAAACCGGAAATCTTTCGAGATTGTACATGAGAGGTTTCAGAACCTGGATAGGGTTTAACTTGTCCCTTTAGCAAAAGCAACAATATTCTAGATTTTTATAGAACATGTGAGGATATAGAATATATAGACATTGTCTATTAGACAATAGAGTAACTACTTTGAAACACGAAGACTCAAACATAAATGGCTAAAATAAACAGCTATCTATATGGTTTTTTAAGTAATTTTTAAAGAATTTTAGCAGAGACATTTTCCTCATGTATATAGTATATAAAGTTTGTAATAAAGATTAACATTTTCATATGGAAAGCTAAAACCATTTTTATTCGACTTTCGAGTAAAAATTTAAATTATATTTGATATTTGTGACATCAGCATTCATTTTTTTCGGTTTTTGAAAAATATAACTTTAAGATTATAGGAAGAAAGTCCTTTTTATGTAAGAATAAGTTTCAGTAAAATAGTATAAAGAAGTTTGAGCAAATACTAGACTTTATTAGAATCTAACTTTTTATCGCTTATATGGTTTTTAAAGAAGTAAAGACTTTTTTCGAGAAAAATTTTTGATTTGAAATCACTGTAATACTTTGTAAAGAAAATAAAATAAGTAATAGCTAACAAAATGGCAAAGAAACGAATGCATCAAAAAATCAAACTTTTTAAACGGCATTATTATGTTTCTTTTTTTTTGTACTTCAACATTTACTTACATATTAACTACCTTAAAATATTCTATACACATTATATTATTAAGTTTTTAACACTAAATTTTACAAAACTTTAATCAATTAAAACAGATTCTTACCTTATTTTTTTGTTTACTGTGTTTGTTTCTGTAAGAAAGGAACATAATGTCTGGAGTAGCACTAACCATAAGCTGAATAAGTTAATACAAATACAAATAGATTACTTCAAATTTGATTTTCCGTTAGTTTATGATTTGAGATATTTCCGTATCGGCAGCTGTGGTAGTCGTAATAGTGTTATTAATTGTTAGACTTTGTTGGGTGGAATTTTCCTTTATAAATGCTGGACATTTATGATGATGGTTGGTAATCGGTGATGTTATGCTCGACAACGGTTTGCATTTTGTATTAAATAAATTCTCATAATCCATGGGAAAGTTTTGGGCTGAACATTCCGCACCAGAAATTGTTTTAATCATTGAATTTGATGTCAAAGATTCCAATTCATGTGACTCGGAATTAATGAGTTCTCCAACAGCTGAACTGGATGGTGTTAGTAATTGTTCTCGGGTTACATGATTTTGTTTACGCTCATAGAATTTTATGCCGTTAGCGTTAGAACGTTTCTTTACTCGTGGATATTGAAATTGCATAAAACCATATTGGGGACCAAACAATTTCAGCAGGCTCATAAGGAAAAACGTGGCATAAGTCCAACTAACCGTCATAACAACTAATAGAAATATACCGATTTGCAGATAAGGCAACACATTTGAAAACAGCATAAGAGCTCCAGCAATACCCGTCGTTATGGCTGCCATAGCAGTAGGACCGATAATGCGCGACAAAGAGAATTGTGTTGCCGCAAGTCTTTCACAAGAGGGCGACAAGCGATAATGAATACCATAATGTAAACTAAAGTCCACAGCTAAACCAATTGCTGTACTCACAGTGACGCTCTCCAATATATTTAGTTTCCAACCCAGCATAATTAATATAGCAACAGTTACGAAAATTGTTAGCAGAACCGTTATGACTGCATAAAATGATATTAGTATATTTAAAGTAACTAACAGCAGCACTACTAGCGATGCAGTCATAGCTACGGTTATTGCCACCAAGGTTCCCGATGGTAGAGTATCTTGAACATCATAAAATTTCAATTCACTGATAAACCATCCACCTTGCATTTCAGGTGGTGCAGTTTTCAACTCATTTTGAAACCATTCTTCCACGGTTTTAATAAATTCTTTTACAGTATCATATACAGTGGAGTAGGAAACATTAGATTCAAATTCAATTACTAATGCTTTGACTATAGGTGGTGCTGCCGTTGCATTCGTCGTACTATCCAATGTATTATTAACAAAGTCTTCACTTAGTGTATTATTAACATTGAGATCTAATTTTGTGGAAGCCATAAAGCGTGGTCCAGCAACTCCAGGCGAAAAGAAATCTCTGGGTGTGGCGTATAGTGAAGAAATGATTTGAGGTAAACATAAATCGAAAACATCCGGTTCATAGGGAAATTTCGAAATATCACAGCAGGGTGTGCGGTCGGAGTAATCCATTTCATTCACACACCTAAAAAATACAATATTACTTACTAACCAACTAAATAAAGCGATAGAGAGAGAGAGAGAAACAAACTTACATTCTTTGCATAAGCGTTATAAAATTTTCTATAAAACAATTTGGTAAAAGCATACCAAAGGTTAATTGATAAAATGGTTGCTGTCTAATATTTTGGCAAAACGATAGAAGCCAAATTTGAGCTGCTTTTGTTGATACATTAAAATTATTGTCATAATGTAAGTTTCCATAGGCATAAGGATTTGCATAGTCGCCATCATCAACAGGTTGTATTCCCCAAACAAAACGTAAAGAGAATTTATAGTTTTCAAAATTCTAAAGCAAAAGAAACATATTAAATTTCGCCTCTTTTCACCCTCTCTGATTTTAACATACCATCATAGATTTTTCAAACCAAAATTCATTTTTCAATTTTGAATTGTAGATTTCGAATGGATGTTTGGAAACAAAAAGTTGAAAATGTGAATTTTCTGGTAATTGCAGACCTGGTTTATATAAGACTACAATAGCACTACAAATACCAAGTATGCCTAAAAGTAATTAAAATAATATTAAAAAACACGACTTGTGTATATGTGTTTGTAGTTTTTGTATTACCAAAGATTGAAAACCATAGAGGTGCATAACTTAATATCGCTGTTGTTATAACTGATTCTAATTTAGAGCAAAAACTGTTAATTGACTTGTTGATCATGATCAAAAGTTTTTGAATTTGTAGTTTACTACATGTTGTACACGAAGATAAACGCTCCATAATCGATATGGAAGCTGGTAACCATGTGATCATTAAAATGTAGTTTGTAATAACAGCAGTACCGGCAAAAACTCTAAAAGAAAAATAGTTTGTGAAATGTTGAAAATCTTGACCATTCAAAAATAATGTTTGCAGTGAAATATTTCTTTAATGACAAACATACTTTTTTGTATAAAAATGTTGTGAAATAAAAAAAATTTAAATTTAATTTACCCAAAACATTTTATAGCTGTTATGTAACTTGTATAGGAGGCATAAAAAGCTCCCGCTGTTGTTACCGATGTCACAAACATTGATATCGATGCATGTTTTAAAGTTAAAGCCATTAAGTTTTGCAAAGTCTCTGTTTGTTCGGTGTCAGCGGTGTTCGTTAAGGACTTTGTGGTAACAGTTGACATTTTCGAAAATCTTTCCATTAAAACACATTGCCAAATTTTAACAAAAATAAAAGCATCATCAGCACCAATACCTTGCAAAAAGAAAGTACATAAAAACAAATTTTTTAATATTAAAAAAATATTATAGTACATTGCTGTGCCAATAAAGAGATCCAAAGTTAAAATGAGCTTTTTATACAAAAACTGAAAATTTATCAAAAATTATTTATAATTAATTAATTATAATAATTACATATTATGTAATTTGAAAATTCATTGAATATTTTCTATAAAATGGAAAATTATTGAAAATTTTATGTAAATTAAAAACTTATCGATAACTTATATGTTTGTTAAAAATTTATCGACAATTTTTCATAAATTGAAAATTTATGGAAAATATTCTATAAATTGAAAATCGATAGAATATTTTCTATAAATTGTAAATAGGAGTTTTTTGTATGTTAATGAAAATATAAGCTCCCGTTTTTTTTTTTTTTTTTTTGGAATAGAAAATTTATTTTATAAATTAAACATTTTTTTACAAATTGAAAATTATCGATAAAATTTCTATAAATTATGTTTTCTTTTCCAGACACAGCAACGATATTATATATTCATTATTATATCATACTTACCTATAATAACTACCACAGCTAGCAAATTCATATATGGAAAAAATGTCATTTCGAAAACTAGTGTATAAATAAAATAAGCTAAACCTAATGAGAATATCACAGCTATACATGTCATTAAAGTAACAAATACTGAAGTGGTGTACAACCACATGCAGGTCATAACAAAAATTCCGCCCAATGCCACCAGCCATGCATCGGTTAAAAGTAATTCGTTAAATAATTCATTCTCCAAACCCAAATCCATGGCTGCAACGCGTACTATTTCATTGCTTAAATCTCTGTAAAAAAATATTTTTTTCAATATTAAAAATTATTATTATTTATAATAAACTAACGATCAATTGGGAAACCATAATATAACAAACCACTTCATATATTTCAAACAATTCAAACTTATTGAAACAAAATACTTATTACACCTACATATGTACATATATATATCACAATTTATTTTCTACAATGAAAAAATCTAATAAAACTGAGAAAATATGCTCGTGTCCCGTTGAAACCACAACAACATATCATGAACATTTTTTGCCATATGAGAAAATTACAACACCTATTAGAGCCAAATTGAAGAAACCATGTGATATAGAATTAATAAGCGGTCACATTGGTAATAATTTACAATGGAATAATAAACAAATCAAAAGTAAAATATGGCCAGAGATGCTGTTGAACGCTGAGAATTATGAAGATTTTTTGAAACGTTTCAAATATTGCAAAAAAGATTTATTTGAACTTTATTTCAAATCAACAAAACCGGAAAAGAAAAATATTGAAGAAATGTTTGAAAATTTTAACAAGACATCTTATCAACTTGTATTCTCACCTGAAGTATTTACTCCCTCTACCGAAAAGAGGCGTTTCGCAAAATTAGAGAAACAACCAGTTCGTATGAAGTATGAAGAGACAACATATCGTACGTATTTTGTACGTAATAAAAAAGAATTTGAAAATTTTAAACAAATATGGCAGGGAGTGCCATTTAAGGAAAATAAAGACGAATTAAAAAATGATTTAAAGAACATTCTCCATTGTGGGCGAACTACATATCATGATGAAATGTCATTATTGGGTAAACTCTATAAAAAACCAACAATGCCGGGTCCAATTGATCGTTATACATTGAGAAGAATATAAATAGAATTTTTATAAAATACTTACACTTTTTCCCATTCATGGAATAATGGCAAAATTTTTGTTGAATGGGGAACTGGTACAAAAATCATTGAGTATTTGAGAAAAATATTAGTGTCCTGAAAATTAATTATTAAAATTATTATAATCAATACTAAACTAAATATTTGAATTGCAATATATGATTGTTATCAACTAAAACCATATTTAAGATTTGTTTATTTAAAAAGGTAATACTTACATTAATTTTTATAAAATTATAGTCAGTCAAATAATGTAGAATATTAAATACAATATTATTACGCGTACAATCCAATGGTGCATAACATTTGTTAATTTCACTACAATCATTGCTTAACTTTAAATCGTGAAAATATTCAAAACAGGATAACAATAAATTGTTTAATAATAAGACATCGTCATGCTGAAAATGGAATAATGTATCTCATTACTTTTTAACAGAATTAGAAGGAACAAACAACAATTACAAATTATTTGAATCTGACCGAAAAAAACTGAATAATTCACAACAGTTCTCAACATGTAATTTGTAATTGGTTTTTGTTACGTAACAGTGAACAAAACTATGTAAAAAAGTAGTAACTTACCGTTAAATCAAAGCAAGAACTTTTATTTGCTAATAAAGCAGCATAATTTGACAATGACCAGGGACGACAACAATTATTACTAATCAATTCACGCTGACAATATTCTCCATAATTCTGTATCCTAGTAATTTGATCTTGTAGTTGGCACATGGCTAACAGACCATTGAGATCAAATAAAGAGTCTGTCGAATTTGGACCTATACGTTCAACTACGAAATGAGCGTATTCCTTTGCGGGTGAATCACAAAAATAACCCTCTATTGGGAAACGCACTTTTTCACTTATGTTTCCATTAATCAATATACTCCATGTACTCTTCTTAGCATGTATACGATCACGTTGATCATCCTCATCGACAAATGTCATATTACGACCGTAAGCAATTTCATGATCACCCATGGCAATGGAAGCCGGTGATGATACTAATGAATCATTTGTTATTTCATAATCTTTAAATATTCCACTATCACCATGCCAAACAGTGGACAAAAATTGTGTTGTGTTTTTCTCTCCTTCGTTTGGATCTTTTTTTGATGTTTTACCTTTCAAACGTTCCTTAAATGTAATTAATTTTTTTGTTAATTCAGCATTCGATTTTTTCTTTAGATTCTCTTTTCTCTGTTTGTGTCTGTTTTTCGGTCTACGATTTTTACGTTTTTTATTTTTTCTTGTTATTGTTGGATAACCATTAATATCGAATTCACTACGTTCCATATTATGAGCTCTATTCATAAGCGTGAGATCATTTGGATCCGTTACTAGTAAATTGGAAGGACCAGTTTCTTGTAATAAATTATGCCAAGCAATTAAACGTTTACCGATTTCAGTACCTCGAGTTTCGAAACCCTGTAAGTAAATATTTTAAAATGGGCGCAAAACGGGAAATTTAATTTTATTTAAACTCATTGAACCAATTTGGATAAAATTAAAAAAAGCAATTTATTGTTGAGAAACTAATTTTTTGAAATGGAAGATGGGGGGAAGTATTGTCCAATCCTCATAAAATTTAGTGGATGGATTTACGTTAACATAAATTGTATTTATGATGAATTTCATCGCAACATTAGTCCTCTTAATCTTATTGTCATTTTCTCAATGAGTCTTGGTATGGGTCTATGCCCAAATGAGACGCGTTTATTACAAAATTCATTAGGGTCATCAATAAACTTAGTTGTGCCGGTTTATACCGATATACGAGTATATTAAACATAATGATGTGCTTCAGATGGATGGACATAGCTAAATCAAATCTGAAAATGATACTAGGCCGTTTGGTATATTTAAAGGTGTGTATTGGACCAATATTATTGTGAAACATCAGCCCAAATATACCCTCCCCACTGAAGAGGTGTAGGGTATAAGAGAATAATGACGAATAAATAACTTTATGAGGATTACACGCAGTGATTCAATTAAGATTTCTGCCTACCTTTTTTAACTTCTTAACAGACTTTAAGTTGCTTGGAACCAATATAATGTGAACTATACAAATATGTGAACTATACAAATACACTTATGTATATGCAAATCAATAATAACTATCCTGATCCAAATTGGCCTACAATAGACCAATTCATAAATAAAAAAATAATTATAAAGCATTCAACATAAGATGTAGAAAATCAAGATTTTAGCATGCAATAGTTCTATAATAGTATACGGCAATATCCCCATATTTTGAGAACCAATATTTTACTACTCTAAATAATTTTTTAGATCAAGTTTTTTTTCTTAAAATTTATAACATTTTGCATAGGCAAATAACTTAAGTGATTCACTGTATGTATGTAGTTACATATGTATTTATACAGATTTTAGTCATTTTTGGCGTACAACCAATATTTTTGTGTATTACTAACATCGGCAAAAACATCAAATATGCTCCACACTGCTAGTATAGTATGAAAAAAAATTCTAACAAATTGAATGCAAAACAATAATAATAATAATTGACTTACCAATGTTGGATCTGTAAAATCTGGTAAATTATTTGTAGTTAATGATACAATAATACAAGCTATACATAGAACGGCAATAAAAAGGACCATTAGATATGGCCGACGAACTAAAACATTATAATACCACTGCATTTTTTTACTTTTAATAAAACTTTTATATTTTATATCAAAAAGTCCTTTATATTTGAACAACAACTTGTTGTTTTATTTTTTATTAGTTAATTATTTCCATTGTACATCATATTGTTGATTAAATCCTTTATGTTAATGGGGAACTGCTTTTTTGGAAAAGTGTACTCGTTTGTTGTCTCATTGTTTTGAAGCTTCCTATATCTTTCTGTTCCTTTTATTCATTTTTGTTTTTCTCTCTATTGAATTTTTTTTGCACAAATAGTTTGCTCCTTTTTAATTTTGTTACTTGCGTATATTTACATTTTAATTCATTATATTTATAAAATTTAATATTAGTTTTGTCAAATTATAAATAGTTTGATTAATTCACATTAAGTTAAATATAATTAAATCCAAAAAATTTAAATAAGTGAAAAACTTCTTATTTTTTATTGCAGAAAATTTTCTTTACTTCCTTTTCGTGTGTGTTTTAACTAGATTTCCCATCAGAGCCCTGCGCCGACAAATATTAACGGCGGCGGCGACTGACACTAAATATATCGGCGGCGGCTTAAAATCGACTATAAGCCGGCTAAGTTTTAAACTACGTTTAGTTTTTAAATATTCAACGATTTTGAATAAAAACGGAATCCGAGAGATCAGAAAGTGGGATTTTGGAAGCAAATATATTGTTTATAACAACAAAACAGAGCAAGCTCAAAAGTTGTGTGAGAAATTATGCAGGGATGAATAAAAAATTCTTAAATATTAAAAACAAATCCTTTCTCCAAGTTTTACGAGGATCGGCCGATATTTAACCCTATCCTCCATATAAAACATCTCCAAAAGTTTCACTTTGAAAACATTAGAGTGTATGAAAACTCGCAACTCTAAAGACAGACTATTCCTATTTTAGCGGTAATTTCTTTATGATTAAAATAAGTAAGAAGTAAGAGTTATATTCGGCAAATCATATGTCGTAAAAAAGCAAATTTCGGAAGTGGTCATATACATATATATATATATATATGGACTTTGATCACTAGATTAATAAGAACGTCAGCGTGATTTTAGGATTAGGGACTTAAATGTGGAATTGGGTCAATTATGGACCAAGTTCTCTATAATTTAAGGTATTGTTTTTTAATTCTACCATAATTCTGTCATAAAATGATAACTTTTGGAATGATGTATTAGTTATAAACTGATTTTCTGTAAGAGGGTTATATTGGCGGACCGATCCTCATAATTTTATTTTTCATAAATGTAGGTTTCGGTTCCTAAAAGTGTTTTTTTCATCGACATTTGAAAGCCATTTATGTGCGTTTAAGTCATTTTCTGAAGAAGATTTCATATGGGTTTAGGGTGAATTATGCTTCGATCGTCTTAAAATTTGGTAGACATATTTTCGTTCCAACAAAAATTGTTTATTATGGTATTATTAAGTACGTAGAAAACTTTAAAATAAATTATTGAAGGGGGCAGTGTCAATTATGGCCTATGGAGATTTCTATTGATATCGAGCCCTTTTTGCAAAATTGACGTAAGCGACATGATTTTCGATTTTAGTTTTTTTTTATAGAAATCGATAATTAAGGTCTATTAGCATCATCTCCGAAAATTTCGTCGCTATAGATCCAACAGATTCAACTTTACAAGAAAAAAAAAAAATTACGTAAGTACACATTTATTTTCTGTTTATGAATTTTGGAACAGCAGGCGTCGGTAACGTCTAAATTTTATTTTAAAATATATTAAATTTATAGACAAATTTTGAACAAATTAACGTACTAAATTTGTTTGTGAATGAAATGCCACATATTTGGGCTGCACAAGTCATAAGCACACGAATTTTTTTTAGCAAATTGTCGCATTATTGTTGTCTTGTGCAGGACTTTAATACATATATTAGGATACATCCCATCAACAAGGGCGACTTTAATGGCAGATCAAAAATTCGATTTGATATTTATATAATGCATACTAAGATGATCTTTGCTATTTATTAAAATTGTGATGATCCCAAGGAACCAACCAATTGATACCTACAGATAAACGTTTTTTTTTTTTTTTTTTTTTTTTTTTTTTTTGATAAATGATTTTTGATAACTGATACCCAATAAGCACTCAAAAATTATGATTTTAAGTGTTTAAAATTTAACTGGATTTCAACTTTAATTCCAATACTGTTTTCAAGGAAAAGAATAACCAAAAAATTTTCTTCAAACTTTATTTTCTTGTCAAACAAAAAAAATTTAAAATATTTTTAAAATAATAATATTTTGTATTTCATCACACATATAGATTAAACCCATAGCTGCTATGGATTCAACCCGTATCACCAACGTTTGTTTATACATACTGTGATTTCATGTCAATACGATAAAACAATGCATCAGGACCTTCCAATAAATTAATTAATAAAATAAATTATTTTACTTATTCATTAATTAAAATAAAATTATTATGGGAACTGGTTAAAAATTCCGTTACACTCCCTCATAACCACTCAACCAAAGTCTGGCAGCACTTTACCGATAAAAAGCGGCTAATCAGCTGTCAGCTAAAAAAACTGTTTTGCAACAACTTTTTTGGAAAGCAGTAAATAATTTTGATTTTACAATTTAAATTAAATTTGGTTAATATTACTGCAATTTTAGGTCAGGCGAAATGTTAAGGGAATTAAAATTTATACTACAACGTTATCCACACCGAATGGCAGCGATGACAGTGCCAAGTGGAACGCAACGAATAGTTGAACGAACTAATTGGAAAACCTACTGCACAGACCACAAAAAATCTTCCAAATTGAATGAGGATGAAGAAACTCGAGAAGCAAATGATGATAAAAATGAACAACAACAAAGGAAAAAAGCACCTCCCCGAACATTTGTGCCAGCAGTTAGAAATCCATTTGCTTCAGCTTCGGAAAAAACCAAAGATGTTTATTTAAGCATGGTCAGTATATTCACTGAACGTGATGTACATCGACGCAATCATGTCGAATTCATATACGCCGCTATGAAACATATGTCGGAATTTGGTGTAGAACACGATTTGGAAGTCTACAAGGCCTTGATTAATGTCATGCCCAAGGGGAAAATGATACCGAAAAATTTATTCCAAGCTGAATTCCAGCATTATCCCAAACAACAACAGTGCATTATCGACTTACTGGAACAAATGGAAGATTTGGGCGTTATGCCCGATTATGAAATGGAAGCCATGTTATTAAATATTTTCGGCCGTCAAGGCCATCCGTTACGCAAGTACTGGCGCATGATGTATTGGATGCCAAAATTTAAGAATGCGTCACCTTGGCCTCTGCCCAATCCTGTCCCAGACGATACCCTGGAAATTGCCAAATTGGCTGTGGAACGTATGTGTACTGTGGATAGTCGTTCACAGATTTCCGTATACGATACGAAAGATGTTAAAGATGCTTTAGATCAAACGTGGATTGTTAGTGGTATGAGTTGTGATCAAGCTCAACTCTTAAAAGAGCATCCCCGCAATAAGGCTTTGTATATAGAGGGTCCGTTCTTAATTTGGCTAAGAAATAGATCTATACATTATTTTACCCTACGAGCCGATCCCGATATGGAGTTTTTGAAAAGTCTAAACAGCCAGGAGGAAGATGAAGATGGTGAGTACTTGAAATATTACCGTCAAGATTTTAGATTAAAATTTGGTTTTTCTGTAAAAACTATTTATTAAATACTGTTGAAATCTTTTGATGACGCAAATGCCCTCCCCAAATAACGATTATTGGCAAATTATGTCTTATAAATTCTGTAAAGTTTAGTTTGTAATTGATTTTAGATTTCGTGGAGATTCTTCTTATACAATCCCTACAAATGCGTTCAGTTTCACTTCAGATTCCAATTAAAAGTATTTTACATCCATTTAATTATTTATTTAATTTCATTTCAGATGTTACACGTCTAAATGTACCATTGTTTGGAAGACCTACCACCAAAAAGCAATATCAAGTTGGTAAAGTTCGTTCAGTACATCAACAAGATGATGGTACAATTTTTGCTATATGTGCAACTGGAACATCAACCAAAGATTCCCTCCTATCCTGGGTCCGTTTACTGGAAGTTAATGGCAATCCCTCTTTAGGTGAAATACCTATACTATTTCGTTTTCATTCTAAAGTTGGGGAAAAAGCCATACAAATTGAAGGCCAAACGGAGGGAATCAACGTACCGAGTAAAGATAACAACACAACTGAGGACTTAACAAGATAGCAAATTGTTTAATGCATTAAATGTTAATAGAAAAACACTGTTAAAAATTAAATATTTTAATAGTTAAATACTATTATGAAATTTTGTTTATTTTTTTAATATTTTATTTAAATTATAATTATTTTTTTTTTTTTCTTTGAACACAAAAAATTATAGAGAGCATTGTGTAATATATGGGATAAAATTCAAATATTGTAGAGTCATATACGTAAATGTAATTATATTCTTTTATATACATACAATTATTTATTGTAAAATATTAATTTTGATAACAAAAAAGGAGATGCTTATAGGGGAATACTTATTTCATTTAAGTACATTTTCATTAATAGAAGACAAACAAATCATAAATCTTGAAGGTCTCAAAGGGAAAAGAAATTCATTATTTTAAATGTGATATGAATTTCGTATTGAACTAAAATTTCTCAAAGGAAACATAAATTCGTTCTAAATACATGCTAGGCTAGTCTCTTACAATGAAAGAATGATATGATAAACATAAAATATATACATATGTATATTAATGTATTTAAATAAAAATTATTCTATTCAATCTAATTCTTATAATTTGTCTGTACTAATAACTTAAAAAATCACAGTAAAAACTGAAACAACAACAAATTACTTCATAATTCCTTAATTTACTGAAAGAAATATTAAATATTTATCAGGATCTATACACAAAAAACTATGTGTATGTATATATTTTTTATAAAAAAGAAACATTTCTAAAATGTGCACATCGCTTATTCCTTTTAAGGTAAATTAAAATATTTCTATACTAAAAATATTCAAGTCCAAAGTGAAAAATGATATATTTTTCGTTTTTCTACAATATCTGAGGTACAATTTGTTTGAGGGATTCCGAAATATAGACGTTTTGTTTTTGTATAACTATAGAGTTTTTTTTTACTACTTAGGTAAAATGTACTTTGTAACAATTATAATTATTTTAGTTTTGCGACCGTTTTAACGCTGTCCTATGGCTTTGTTAAGGGGGAAAACTTGTGTTACCACGCCTATTCCTTTGTTTGATCCTTCGCGGAATAGTACTCGCATGCCGGGACGTACATATTCAGGATGGCCAACGAATTGAAACATCACCGATGCACTGTCATTAGTGCCAATTTTCTCGCCACCCATTATGCCGCGTATAATGGCTGTTTGCCTTATACTACCAATATGTACAGTTGTCTGGAATCCCACATAAATGGCAGTAGCATGAAATAATACCGATACTTTGGCCTGTAAAAAAAGTATAAAAAGTATAATGATAAATATTTGATGAAACTGTTATGTTTAAAGAAAGCATTCGAAATATTTTAATAATTCCGGAAAAATCACCGTTGTGCCGTTATTTTTTTCGAAACTTTTTAAAGCATGTCTAATATAATTATTCTGGGGTTTTTAGAAAAAATTTTACAACAAACATACGGGCAGACGGACACTGCTAAATCGATATCGCTATATCTCAGAGTCGGAAAATTGTATTGTTGAAATAAAAATCGGAATGAAAAACAATTCTCACGAAGGTGAATGCTATAAAAATCATTTAAATACTTTTCACTAATAACTGTCTTTTTAACTAAAAACTAAACTTTTTAATAAAAAATATCACTAAATATTTCTGTTAAATGAAATGAATGAAATTTACCTGGAAAAATAGCGTACCACACGGCTCATCGTCATTATTTCCAGAGTCAGCTAATAAAACCATGCCACTACGTAGCGATGGTAATTGTTGATTTGGTGTAAACGATAGTGAAGCACTCTGACCAGCCCTAACAACTCGACATGGTGCCTTATTACGATGTATAGTGTGAACAGTAACCGAATGAAAACTACCACAAGGTAGTGGTCCAATTTTCATAGGCATATTTTCTGTTAGGACACCCTTTACCAATAAACCACCTACAACTGGACCAACTTCAGATACACGAAATATTTCATCTATATGAAATTCACATGATTCCTGTTCAAGGCGTTCCTTTTCCGAATTGCTAACACCGGGCGAAAGAACATAGAGAAAACGAGTGACTAGATTTAAGCCAGAGCCCGTTACATTAGATACACAAAATATGGGTACAATGTTTTCGGAAAATTGATTCGAACCAGCCGATATAACTTCGTCAGTGTTTGTCACAACAAACGGTACTTTCCGACAACCGATAGAGGTTAGCAAATTCTTTAGCTCTTGTATAGTTTGCTCTGGCGATGTGATGTCTGTTTTTGTTATGACTACGAAGAAGGGCATATCCAAAGCTCGCACAATTGATAAGTGCTCTTGACTGGTGCCATTAAAGCCACCGCCTGCGGACACCACCAGCATGGCATAGTGTGGTGAATATCCAGATAAAGCTTGAACTGTGGTGCGCATGTAACGCCGATGACCGGCCAAATCCATAAATGTCACTAGTTTTGTAGAACGATCGCTAATTTCTTCTGCCGTCATCATTTCATTATATTTGTAATTAATTATATTGCCTTGGGGATCAAAACCCAGCGTCTCATGTGAAATACAGGATGTGCGACCCGACTGTATTTCATGCATATGCCTAAACATATTCAAGCGCGCTCTTCCTCGGCCATTGTCAAATTCACCTTGCGTTAATACACCCAATAGTGTGGATTTTCCAGCATCGGCACCACCTAAAACAGCTACCCTCACTTCTATATTGTGCTGATCATCTGGAATTTTTCGCACCAAAACTTCAGCTACTGATCTGCGGCCTGCCACATATTTTCGCCTTAATACCGATGTACTGGCGCCCAATTTATGGGCCATTTGTTTGAGCGTACATAGAGAGGCATTCATGTCTTTCTCATTGAGACCATGCAGATGACCGGAATCAGATACCCCAATTTCATAAATGGCTTCACCATGTCCCTCTCTCAAACGCCATTTCATCTGTGTTACCAAATGTTCAAATCTTTGCTTTGACGGACTTATTAACTTTAGTTTGTATTCAATATTTCCTAATTGTGGTTCGGGTGGCAATATACCTTGGTCGAAATCAATTATTATTTTTGTATTACTGTTGCTATTGTTGTTGTTGTTGTTATTATTATTATTATTGCGGCTATCCAATTCACTTTCACTGCTACTGCCGCCAGAATTGCCACTTTGACCACTACTGATGTTTGTATTTGAATCACTCGAATTGCTGTTACGTATATCGGGTTCTTCATCAAAACCATCATCCGGTTGATTTGGATCAAAGAGACTCAGAAAGGAGTCCATTTTTTTTCTTCAATTCTTTGTTTAAAGTTGTTTGATTACTTATGTTGCTGAAAATAATAAAAATGTGTATATTTTAATGCATATAATATACAAACAGCCCAATTATGGATAATTATTCCTGGGGAGTTTTTTCCCTTGTGCATGTTTTAAGTATAGGAGAGCAAACAAACTCCCAGGGAATTTATTATTCAAAATAGGCCTCGTATTTTTATTCTAGCGTATTAAAAAAAATCAGATTATGGGAAATTAGGGAATTATAGAAAATTAGAAAAGTACTATTCTCTTTTTCTGTGCCATTGTAGAACGAAAAATTCCTTCTTCTCATTTACTTATGTATGTTTGATTCAATGTTTTTGAAAAAAAAAAACACGTTTAGAAATTAAAATGTGTAATAAATTCTTCTTTTGGGGAAAGTGCATTTAAAAAATTACATTTTTCCTTTTTCATCCAGAAAGTCACATTTGTATGATTAACTTTTTGAAAATATAATATAATATATAAAAAGTAAATAAAAATACCAAATTTTATAAAAATATGTTTTCTAGTCGAGTATTATTATTGGAACCGATTAGGAACTTTGGCTAGGATTCTGAAACTGAATGAATAAACAAAAAAAGTAAAAATAAGTAATTTGGTTCTGTACGGAGCTTTGTATCTGATTTCAAATAACACACCATTTAGACCATCAATCAAAATTAAAATTGCTCAATGAGTTCGAATAAAATTAAATCTCCGTTTTTTATGCCCTTTTTTGTTACTTTTTTACTCCGTACTGAAGCATCAAAAATGGACCAAATTCGAGATACAGACCGTGACTAAACGACTCAGAAATTATACTGGGTATAAATAGAATCAATAACAAACATCAGTTCCAAAAATATTTACTATGATAAGTTCTAATTAATTGACCACCACTGCACATACTACATACTAAAAAAACATAAGTTTTGTAAACAAAGACATCCTCTTTGTTGAAATCTCTTAAAAAATTGGCTTAAGAAGACTAGATAAAAAAAACGAAAAACTACAAAACAACAATAGTTTTTGTTTGGTATAACGTAAAGAAGAAAGAGAAACAAATTTGCAATGACCTTGAAAAGAAACAAAAAAAGTGTTTAGATGGGATATTTTGTTTTTCTTCTATATATGTATCTACATTTGGCCATACAAACACATTTAGTATTCTTTATATGAATATCTACAATTATGGCCTTAAAATGGTCACTTAAGAAAATATATGCAAAAACTTTTAAAAATTCACTGACGTTTTATTTTACTTTTTATTTAAATCTATTACAAAATCTTAACAAATTGTTTACCTTATAATATTTTAAATCTATTTTTATGCTTTTTTTCGATCAAATAACCAATTTTAAACACGTCGTTAACGGTATACTTTATAATTATAGACCAAATGATTTAATTATTTTTACTTTATTTCTTATGTGGAATTTGTTTTTATTAAAGCGCAACTTTTATTAACTTATTTTTACTAACTTTATTATTATTTATATATGTATCTTGCACATATATTGTTAGTGTGTTTGCACAGTAAATTTGTTTGGCTTTTTGTAGTTGTCTAACGAAGTGCTGCGCCAAAACTGAATAAATTGTTCATGTATGCATGTTGGAAGCCTTCGTCAAAGACAAAGAATAAAAGTACCAAAACAGAAAAACGGAAGAAACAACAGAACGTACGTAATAATGGTAATACATGGTAGATAATTAATGAACGACTACTATACTACTCTATTAGGAGATTTTTAAATTTTAAATTTTCAAACTTTAAGTTTTTAAAAATAACTGATCCGGGAAAAATTGCGCTGAAAAATTTGAGTATGTATACAACATATTTGTGTTAAATTTTGTCCCGATATGGTTATTTGTTAATTATGTTCGTTTAATTGATTTTCGAAAGTGGACCTTATATGGGAGCAATTGTTAATTAAGAACCAATCGAGATTTTAGTTGGTAATTTATATAAGCAAAATTTTGTAGTATTACCGATATTATCCGGGAGTATGTACATATGTATGGTATGGTAACTATGAAAATTAAATACTAAACCATGAATGTACATATATCTAGGGTCTTCTGAAAACTGAAAGCATGTCTGATAGAATAGATATCTAGGTGTCATCTGAAAACAGATTTCAAATACATACTAAGTAGACTCCGCCATTTATGAGATCTCGGAATACACACACATGAATAAACTTTGTAGGGTCGCAAATTACCTATATTGTAGAAATTGCAAACGGAATGACAAACTTACATACATACATACATACATATACATATGCCCTTCTGATGAAGGTGGGGGGTAGAAAAACCTTTTTTTCATTTAAAACCCAATGATGTACGTACATACACGTGTAAAGAATTATGTTTATATAATGTAGGGTGAATATGGCAAAATTTAACAAACAGCTGGCAGTATAATGTAAAAAATCGATTCTCGTTCACAAAAATAATTACTAAATCGGACTTTTGTACATAATATAACAAACCTGTTAAAATTATTAAATAAAATAATTTAGCCCCTTAAATTAATTAAATTTTTATCTTTAAAAACCCTTTTACAAATGTTCTCCAGATACCTAAATGTCTGTAGGTACATACATATTGTAAGTATGTATGCATATGTATGTATGTACGTATGTACATTTCTTGTTTGTAAATATTTGTAATGTTTGGCTTTTTTTATATTTTTGTCTACATATTATTTGTTTTCATTTATTTTTTCTATACATAGTACATACAGATGTACAAAATATATTATGTACATATATATTACATACATACATATGCATAATATAGCGAATACATAAAAAAGCTTCACGTAGTCAAGCCAAAAACAAAATTGTTTATCAACAAATTATAAGAAATCAAAACAATAAAGACACCAAAACATTTTTAGATTTTTATAGAAAATATTTTAGAGGGAAAGGCATTCATTCATATGAGTAACAAAAACAATACCTATCACAAGAACTAATTTGTGTTGTTGGCACTTTTATTTTGGGAATAACAAGTACACATACATATTTTGAGGCTTTAACAATTTTGATAAATGTCACTTTGTTAATAGAATATAATAATGATTTATTTACCTACATCCACATGTACTAATATGAATAGGAAAGTTTAATTTTAATAAAAAGGGGTATACTGGACCAGTTCCTTGATATGTACTTTTTTATTGAACCAGAAAAGTATTCATCGAGAAGTAAAATGTAGGTAGTTCGAATTTCACCAAACTATTAAAAATATTTTGAGATGATACACTACAGTTTATGATTTACTATAAGACGATTTTAATCGAAATAAGTTTGTATAATTTTGAAACAACTTTTTCAATTTAATGCTTTTATTTTGACCTTAACTGCAAATAAGTTTTTATAATTTTGAAAGTCCTTTTTTATAACCAAAATATTATCAAACATAAATTCCACTTACAACAAGTTGTGCAATTCCAGAATAGTAGTAGATAATTCGTGCTGTCTGTATTTGTTGATTGAGTAATTTCTAATAACGATTGCGTGAGATTTGTTATTGTTTGTCTGCAAAATTGTGTTTAAACCACTGAAAATTTTGTGCACAAAATAATTTATTTCACTATATTAAAATACATTTCAATAATACATTTGCATATTTCTCTAGAATTTATACTAAATTGTTTTAGATTTATTTATCATAATTGCTATTTTTTAATAATTATGTATATTTTTATTTTAAATGCAATTTCTGCATAAAAGTATATTTTTCTTACATCGCGTGAAGTTGACAAACTACTACTTTTTTAACAACAGTTTTTACTCATTTTGCAGTTAGAGAAACTCAAAAATAGGCAGTGTTACCACATTATTTATAATTAACAATAACATATCGTCGTTGCTCCGACAAAGATAGTTATGTGCTTTTTGTTAGGTTTTCAGGATAAAAAAAAGATTTAATTCGCGAATTACACTTAAAGTTATTATACCTATTCCGAAGATTAAACTCCCAAGGAATTTACTCCCTCTCATATTCCTAAAGCATGTAGAAAGAACAGGAATAATTGTTCATAATTGGCCGTACATATATTCTGCGAATCTAAGCCCATTTGCGGAATATGTGAAAAAGTCAACCAGATTCAGTTTTATGAAGACTTACCTTGAAAATTATTAAATTTTTAGTTTTGTAATCAAAATTATAGAAAAAATAAAACAACTTTTTGTTTCCAGCTTTATTTCTAAATTAACTTTCGATTTTAACTTTTTGTTTCGAGTTCTGAAAAAATCGTCTATTTTTTAAGTTTCAATTAAATTAAGCAAGATTTCTTAAAAAAGTAGACTTTTCTCATTTTCTAAATTTTATGCAAAAGTCTACATATTGATTTTTCAATTCATGAAAATCCGGGCACTTATGTTATTATGTGCGATTGTTACAATAAGTTTGTCCGTCTGAAGCTAAAAAGTTTTATTATTTTTTAGATATTTCCTTTTTTCGATTTATCGACTTATTGGGCTTTGTCGACTTTAATTTACAAAGCCAACTTTTCTACATATATGAACAAAATGGTCGATCTCCCGACTTTTTACGTTTTTATAACCATATAAAACATTCGACTTCGACTTTCGATGATCGAAAGACTATAGACATTTCTGTACAAAAATTGTTCACCAAAATTCAAATATTCCAAGTTAATGTATAGAATCCTATTGAAATCCTTTGTATCTTTTATATGTGGGAATATTAAAGTCTATAGTGGCCTCGCGTAGGTTAGTGTTAGTGGTAGACCAGAGGTAGTGGGTTCGTTTCCCACCTGTGGCACTGGTAAAGGAGCGCACAACAGGACCGATAGGGGCCTAGGTGTATTTCTTCGGGTTTGATATACATATATATACACTGTCCTTTCAAACTTAGTATAGAACCCTATCAAAACAGTAGTTACGTTGATAAAATTGTTTTAAGAGAAATGATATGGACTGATGCTATACTGTATTACAAATCTTACAATACTATTCGGTATAGTTTAGTGTATAAATATAATAACGATTAATTAAGCTAACGGTTTATTTTGTAGGATAAGTAACAGTAATCCTTAATCATAAATTATAAGTTAATTTTTTATTTATTAATAAATAAATTAGATATTTTAGATATAGGTATCATTTTTGAAACTTATTGGTACATTAATTATCCCTTTGATAACCAATGCCGCTACAAGATATGCGAACATGATTGTCGTTCAAAGTCTCGGTTTGAAAGCGTGCACCAGTCATTTTTTCAGCTACATAAATAGCGGTTAACGTATGATTCGTAAGTGGTCCAGTCAATATAACAGAATTTCCTTTAGCTAAAGCCATATATATAATCAACTGATCTTGTACATTCTCATCTACACAAACTCGATTTGTGATTAGGGTTTTTAATTGCTGAGCAGCTGTAGTGCCCATTTCAATGGCATCAACTTTCTTGCCACCTAAACTGTCCGTTCCTAAAACGCAATCTGTAGATGTTATTGCTGTTAGGATACATCCGGAACCGTTATCTCTTGCCATTTCGTTAGATTCCTTATACGATTCTATGTGGAACTTTTGGCATCTGACGGATTGCAATTCCTTTTGAGCTGAATTCTTCATATCATCAGCCAAGTGGTTGGGTAAACGACCGGCAACAAAGCACCAACCAACTACTTCTCGCAAATCACCGAAATTAGTAATACTGGCCGCCTGGACATTTCTAATGTGAGGTATAAATAATTTACAACGTCCACCTCCACGGGGATAATAACCACGCTGTATAAGATCAAAATCGAAGGATACACCAAATTTTTCTAAATTTGGTCTTAAAACCTCTGTCATAAAATCAACTTGTGGAGCCATACCCACATTTGTACCTCCAACAAGTTCGAGCTCCGAGTCTCCATCACCAAATAGCAATACGGGCAAAGCACATTGCAATACAAGTGTTACACTGGCAGCTGTTCGTGTATCCACAAAATATTTGCCGGCCTTTATAATGCCCGGACTAAATTTCACTTCTGTTGATTTCAATTCATTGCCGCTAACTTTGGCTTGTGTTATCTGGGCCAGTAAATTTAGACCAAATAAATGTTGATTGGAGAGACCAGGATTGGGACGATTTGCTCTTATATTGATAATACGAACAGGACGACGTAGAATGCAGCTGAGACTTAAGGCATTACGTAGGATTTGGCCACCACCCTCCAAGTATTTACCGTCGATTTCCAAGAAATCACTGTCAGACATTTTTGCAAAAAGTCGGCACCCAAAATAATTTTATTATAACAAAGGTATATTTAATAAATAAAAATAAAATAAAGACTTTAAATACAAGTTGACGATTAACTTTAGTAATAAATGTTACCACATCACTGCTAATTGAGAATTTCACAAAATCGCCAAATTCTGAAACATATAAAGTATGTGGTAATTTTGAAAAATATTGTGAAATTAATGTTTATTTTATAATGTATATATTCTTTATTTATAAATAAAATATTATTTTGCCCCGATTTCACAAGTTTTAAACTATGTATATATTTTTAGCAGAAATTCTCCTTCAAATAGTATTTTGATAATTTGTATTAATAAAGTTGGCAATGATGTTTTATTACAACTCTGTGTTTTGTTTACAATAAATTTTGCCAGATTAATGAATTTACGTAAGGTGTTGTTGCAGTAAAACTAAAATGTCAAATATAAAATAAAAAATAATGGACCAAACGCTGACATGTCAAACTCTATATAAAAAAAAATAAATTAAGTCGTATGGGTTTGTCTCTAAAATTATCTTAAGTAAATTCGCCTTGTATTTTTGTTTGCATTTCTTTCCCATAAAGACGACTGACTATATTTTACTTAACTTTTAATAAAACATAATAGTTTACTTAGAAAATGGAAAAATTGAACGCCACTTTAAATGCTGTAAAAGCCTTGCGTTCAAGTGTTCGCCAGTGTTTTGAACAATTGGCTGATGGCACGACGAAACAAGTGGATGGTACTGGTGTCGAACAGTCTGAGGAGAGCCGCAATAAATTTTTAGTTGAATTTCAGGAAAACTATGGAAATATTAACCAACAATTAAGGTTGTAATGTCTGAAGTAAATAATCTTATTTAATAACTGTATTATTTTCTCTACAGAGAAGTAGAGTCGTTAATAAATGGCCTGCAAGTTCCCATGAGCCCTTATTATTTGGGAAATACTACCTATTTGGCTCAGGAAATAACACAAGATCGTCAAGCTATGTACCCTCAATTGGTTAACAGTTACAAATGGATCGATAAGGTTATTAATGGTTTTAAAACTGCTGCTTTGTTTAAATCATTGATTTTTTTTAATTCAATATAGGTTCACGAGCACAGCCTTTTGGCTTTTAATAATTTAAATTTGAATAACTTGAGAAGATCCTATACATATTCGCAAAAAAGAGGTCGTGTCCAATACACGTCATGCAACAATACCGATCCAGAGTAAGTATAAAGTAAAATTAAAGTAATTAAGTTTGTCGTTTGTAATTTCTACAATGTAATTTTCCGAATGCAGTATATTCCAAGTCCTTATAGAAAACAACATAAATTTTGCCATATCCGCCTGTCCGTCCATATGTACAATGTATGTTTAAAACTGTTTTTAGAAGACCCCAAATATCTGTAATATCGAAATCTTCAAATTGGTATAAAATTTCATATACATATGTAGCTCCCTTACAAATGTACATACTTCTGGAAAATCAATTATAAATAAGTCCTTACTTAATATATCGAATAACATAGATGAACCGATAGTAGAGGAAGGGGAGGCTAACACGGAAATTGTAATTACATCTGATATGGTTAAAGGGGCAATCAAGAGCTTCACTCCCTATAAAGCTGCAGGGCCAGATGGCATTTTCCCGGCACTCTTACAGATGGAGGCGGGACTGGTTTCCGTACATCTGTCTCAGATATTTACTGCATGCTTGAAATTCACATATACCCCCATTAAATGGCAGGATGCAAGGGTAATATTTATACCTAAACCAGGGAAACCTAGCTATTCGACACCTAAGTCTTATCGACCGATAAGTCTTACGTCCTTCCTACTTAAAACTTTGGAACGGATAGTATGGTGAAAAGCAGTATACCCGCATTCTTATGTAAAGGGACGATCGGTGGAAACCGCTTTAAACGAAGTTGTCCACTACATAGGTGCATCCTTTGATAGCAAACTGTATACACTGGCGGTATGCATTGACATCGAAGACGCCTTCAATAACGTGCACACTGATACTCTTATCCAATCCATAGACCAGTTTTATGTTGACCGGGTGCTCCGTAACTGGATCAACCACATGCTAAGGAACAGATGGATAAGCTGCGAGATGTACGATATAACTATCTGGAAAAAGGTATTTCGCGGTATACCACAGGGTGGCATTTTGTCACCTTTACTCTGGGTTACCACGATTAATAGCCTCCTAAGGACCCTAACTGAGAAAGGACTTAGACCTGTCTACTATGCAGACGATGTCGTAATATTTTTAAAGGGAAAGGATCCAAATTACTTGTGTAGAAGAGCTGAGGTGGCTCTGAATACGGCCTTGAGCTGGGCTCAACCGAGAGGCCTCAATGTTAATCCGGCAAAAACGGAAATCTGTCTTTTCACAAGAAAGACAAAAATGTCTACGTATACTGAACCTTGCTTCCTGGGCAAGAAGGTACCAGTGACAGACAAAGTTAAATACTTAGGTGTAATCCTCGACCGGAAATTAAAATCTAGACACCACATAGAGGATAGGATCAACAAGGCACATCGGTGCTGGGCGATATGTAGGAGAACTATAGGCATGAAATGGGGTCTTAGTCCAACTATGACAAATTCTCTTTATAAAAGTGTAATTATACCAATTCTAGCTTATGCTTCAATAATCTGGTGGACTGCTTTAGACAAAATTGGGGGACAAAGTGGGGCTGGGGTTCTATATTAAAGACCCAGAAACATAAATATACCACCGTTTACCAAATCATAACACAAGCTTCCAGGCAGAAGTACGAGCAATAACGGAATGCTTAAATTGGATTAGAATAAATATGGCGCCCACAGCGGTTAATATATTTACCGATAGCCAGAAGGCAATTAGGGCGATATCAGGCGATAGAACTAAATCTAAGACCGTATTGGATTGTAAGAAAGCTTTAACTGAATACTCTCTCTTCATTCAGTTCCCACTTTTTTCATGATAAGGAGCGCACAACAGGCCCGATAGTGGCCTAGGTGTATTTCTTCGGATTTGATGTAATATACATCCACCTATCAACCTACCTACCTATATAATAACGATATCCGGATAAAATTCTAAACGAATATGTTGTGTACACAAATTAATCAGCGAATTTTTTCCGGATTGACCTGTAATAGGTGAATGGTATTTTATATTCGGTGTAGTCTAAAAAGCACTTTTGTTATTCTTCTTTCAGATTGCCTTACCTTTTTAGGCTACTGATTCGGTATAATTTCTAGGTTAAAGCCTTGTGGAAGTCTACCTGTTTCCAGTCCCCTCTTTTCTTCCTTTATGCCCTTTTTGTTCTCTATTTGTGGATCATTAATTCCTAAGAAAGGAATCACAATGGACCACAATTGCGAGTGGAGTGGCACTTTCAGATCGGGATGGTTTTAATTCCATAGTTATTATTCCGATGGAATTTGTTATAGCTCTACACATTCATAAACATTTCTAGAAAATAATTCATATAGAAAGGGAGCCGTACTTTCCAGATGTTTCTTATTTAAAGTCAGTTCATAGGTAATATGTATATCAAAATAAAGATTTTCGAAAGCCCTTTTGTGTAAGAATTTGTTCTTATTTTTCTACGATATGTAGATTTCATTACAAAAAAGAGTTCGAAGCATACTTTAACAAAATCCCAACAATCAGTTCTTATTTTTATAGAATTTTAAGAGCAGAAAAACACTTTAAAAACCCGTTCACAAAGTTTTTACCCTCCTTCAATAGAGTTTTATATTTTAAAACGTTTGCTTTACATAATTTAAAACGTTTGCTTTACATAATTGTATCTTATCTTTTAAGGGTATCACAACTGAGGTAATCATTACACACTTTTTGAATTTATGCACAAAAACATTACAATTAAATATGGAATTATCCTTTTTCATTCATTCGTTACATTTTAGATTCATCGATAATCTTTTCAATAGTGAAATTACTCATACAAATACCACCTACAAAGTTTGTCGACCATTTAGCTCCAATGCAGTAGTCATTGTAAGTAATTTCTAAAATTGAACCATAAATAAAACATTTATTTAAACAAACTTTAAATAAAGGCCACAATAAGTCATGTTTTGAAAGCGGCTATAATCTGCAAAGGTGTATTAATCGAATGGGTGACTGTGAAGGGTTACGATGAACCATTAGAAATTGAAGATCTCTGGACCGAATCTCGCTATGAAGTATTTCGCAAAGTGCAAGAACATACACACTCGGCCATGTTGCATTTCTTTTCGCCAACGCTGCCTGAATTGGCTGTTAAGAGCTATATGGTAAATAGAAACATTATTGTTAACGAAATAAGTAGTAATTTATTTTTATTAATATACTTTGCAGACCTGGCTTAACAGTTACAGTAAATTATTTTTGGAACCTTGCAAGCGATGTGGAAAATATGTATCAAACGGTTTACCACCGACTTGGCGTGATTTAAGAACATTAGAACCATTCCATGAAGAATGCAAGAATTGTTAGTTCGTTCAAATATTTAGTAATTTAAGTTTAGATACAAATAAAACAACTATAAATTTTGTTTTGTTTTTTAATAATTTTTCACTTGTTTTGTATATATTTTTTAACATAAAAAGAAAACAATCAATCAATTCATAAATATGTATGATTTTTATCTTATGCAAACAAAAAATATCATTTTTATAACATTACCCAAAAAGAAAAAACACATTTGATATTTTCATTTGTATGAATGAATTGATGTGGTTGCATTATGGGAGGGGATAGTAATTGTAATAATAATGTTCTTTTTTTGCTTAGCTTTTCTCTTACACAACACAACTATTTTCTCCATTTAAAAAAAAAAAGTGTTATTGGTCAGATTCAAGTCTCATCTCATGCCTATTAGTAGTTGTTGGGCTGAAGGGGACGGTTGTTTGGCCATAACACTTTTATATATTTTTTTTTTTCTTTATTTTTAGTTTTTATTAAATGTTGTAGTTGTGGCCGCCAAACGTCGTTTTTCCAAACACAGACGTGCGAAATTTTCACGCAATGTTTCGCGTAATTGCAAACGTTGTTGTTGAACCTTTTCGCGTTGGCACTGATATTCTAAGACCACCTCTTGAGGAATGTAACAGTTTTCTTCGTCTTCGTCATCGCCATCGAAATCGTCCTAAATTAAAAGAATTTCATATATTAATGTTTAACAAATTGTTTATATACAGTTCAGTAAAAAACATATTTCGGATTCTATGTTCGATATTAAGAGACAACATTCTTATCAAAAGAAAGATATTTAGTCCAGTTTTATTAAAACTGTATGTCACGGAGTATCAACTTAAAATCGATCAGTGCTTTAATCTTGTTTACAAAAAAAATCTCGAAGTAGCTTACCAACATTTGTTGTAGACTCAACGTATTCATTTGATGTTGATGGAAGAAATTGCATGAATCCAAGCCAAAACGAAATTCAAATGACTGATCACAATTATGATGATTTAAATCATCATTATCATCATAATGGTGATGATGATGTTGATGATGCTGGTGTTGTTCATCATCTAAATCAGCCAAGAGACTACTGCCACCACTGTGCTCATGATTACAAAAGCCATCCGAACAGGAAACTTCCGAACCCTCTGACGTGTCCTCGGGCGAAGAGACAACACTAGAAGTACGTGAATTGCCATGAGATAAAGGTTCGCTGCCATAGCCCGAATCCTTAATATCACTTTCACATGGACAATCTGACTGAGGTGAATGACAATCATTGCATTTTACTGTGTTGGCTGTTGAGGCATTGATTGTATTATTTTTATTATTAATCGTGGTGGTTGTGTTAATTGATGTAGTAGTTTTAGAAACGTCCTGTACATCTGCAGAAGAATTCGATTTTAATTTATCCTTCTTTTTGTTGTTATTATTAGCAGAAACATTATTTTTCTTTTGTGGTGTTTTAAGTTTCTGTTTTTGCTTTTGTTTCTTCTTTTTCTGTTGCTGCTGCTGTTGAGTTTTTTGTTGCTGAACAGAAGATTGATGCTGCGAATGATGTTTATTGACATCGTCGTCGTCATCTTCTTCCCCACCAACATCCTCATGAGTTTCTTCGAGATGATCACATTCAACACCTGCATCTTCCTCAATATCTTTCTGGCCAGCAGTTAAAGCCTTCCTATTTCTATCTTTCTCCTTAACGTTCTCTTTAAAGTCTACGACTTCTACGTCACACACGTCATTAGTCGACACAGAGTTTTCATGCGATTCCTCATCGTCTTCCTGCTCCTGATGATCATCGTCGTCGGCTCCTTCGGAATTTGCGTCGTTATTATGATCACACATGCGATGGGAGTTTTTCTTCTCATTCTTCTTCTTCTTTTTCTTCAATTTCTTTTGTTCGCGCTTGTGTTCTTTGGCTTTTTCGGCACGACTAATCTCCTGATAAAGCAGTTCCAAATTGCTGATACCCTGTTTCTTTTCCACCGACATGTCGAAGCTGCGACACAGGGCATGAACACCAACAGCGGCTAAAACTTGACAGGCACGTTCCTCTTCCCTTAAACTCACATAGACGCGACGCAGACGTTCGTACATAATCATGCCAACACAGGTGAGTACCTCTTCCTGGGCGATTTCCAATGTTTTCGCATGACGTTCACGTAGTTTCGAATAGCTGAAAATATAAGAAAAGTTTAGACAACAAATATATAAAAAAATAATAAATAAATTTACCTTCCGTTGACTTCGGGTTCGGCGCGCCTTATAAGAGCGTCGAGAAAGTCGATTTTATTCGTGAAAACATGTATGTGCTTGTCGGGATGACACTTTTTAATATTGGCATAAAGTGCGGCGACATAGCCCTTCTCTTTCGTTGTCGTCTCACCCACTAAAATTTTATAAGCTTTTTCGATCTGCAAGAAACACAAAAAACCGTTCATAATGTATACTTTGGTGTTCTCATTTACACACCCACCTTTGTACGGCAACCGTTGCAAAACTTATGTTTCTTCAAATAATTCTCCAGCACTTCATGCAGTTCTTTCGTTTCGATAACAGCCAATTCATCGCGGCAATTATGCTTCATGGATGACCACACCTCACGCCATGTTTCCGAAAAAGGTTTCGAACGAAATGCGTCCAACGAATGTAAAACACAACGTGTCTTGTTACGCAATTTACTCTCTAACAAATTATTTAAAATCTCGTGATGACGATAGAGCAGGGTTCCCAAGGCTTGTGGCGTTTTCATTTTCTCCTCTGTTATACTAAGTACCCCAGAGTTCTTGAGTACCAAAGGATCTAGTGTTGGTTGTCCAGAGATAATAAGTTGATAAAATAAACGTTCAACACGACGGCGACAGCCAACACATTGTACACACTGATTAAGTACCGATACGAAAGTGTTGCTATTTATTTCCAGGGATGTACGTAATTCCTCACTTGTCAACAGATTAAATTTGCGTGTAAATTCTTCCAGTTCCTTGCCGCGAATATGAGGACTATCGATACACAGACCTTTGCTATTCAAATCCATAAGCATCTTGAAAAAAATAATAAAAAGAAATTAATGTATATTGCAGTAAATCAAAATATATTTAGTATATTACAATGGTTTAGAGTTAAGATTTCGGAATATTTTGCTTTTCGTAACCTTTAGACTTTGACAAACTTTTTTAAACTCAAGATTATATTTTTATCATAAACAGGTAAAATTAAAACTTTTTTTTAGGAAATTGCATTGTAAATTTGTTTAAAATAACATAATTATTTTATTTATATTTTATTAAATTTATTTATATAGAATATTTCGCTTTTACGAACAAAACTGTTCGAATATAATTTCATTGAATAAAGAATATCATTGAATAACGTAATTAGGAATTTTTTTTTTATATTTTAGCGGAATTATTATTTAGGATATTTTGCTTTTACGAATATTTGAATAAATTAGTATTTATCTGAACAAATGTGTTCGAAAATAATTTTTTGGCCTAATCGGAATCAAAGTCCAATTGGACATCATGCTATCGAATCTGATTGAATTAGAAAATATTAAGAATATCTATCTATCTATCTATCTATCTATCTATCTATCTATCTATCTATCTATCTATCTATCTATCTATCTATCTATCTATCTATATTTGAGTGTTATTTACCTACTTATGGGGGAAGTACTATAGGTCATATTTAGGGCCAATAACGCAGCTTATAAATTACACTTCCTCACTTTGTTTCAATATAATAGTTTTATATCCACAAACCAATTTTCATGAGATTTAATTTTTACATGAAAAACTTTAAATTCAACTATTGACCCCAAAATATGCGTTGATTTGAAAATTAACCAACAATTTTAACACAGCAATTGGATAGCAAAACTCAATGTTTATACGAAAAAAAGCTAAATGTATTTTTAATAAATTCTTTTTTTGCAATTTTTTAAATAAATTCTGTAATGTATTGATAATTGTTATTTTCAGTAGTGAAAAACTTATTTTTAATAAATACATATTACATTTCAATAAAAATATAAAATTTTTCTTTATTTCCTCAGCTTTAAACATTTTTTTTAATTAATGCAATGAAGCTCTTTTATTTGAAATATTTCAAAAAAGTATTTGTTTTTAAATATGTATATACTATTAATACTTTTAAAACTCTGCTTATATGTAACTTCTAAAAAAATGTGTGTTTTTGAACCTGTTTTAATTTCTGCTTTGCTGCTTTATAATACTGCATCTTGGTGGTCAGTTAAAATAATAGCAATAAAACAGAAACACACTAACAACTAAAACTTGTAATAACAAAAAGAAAAACATCCACGAATATCAATAAAGAAAGTTAAGCTGATATTTATATCAAATTTAAACAAACAAAAAAACAAAAAAAAAACGAAGAGAAATAATAATTGTATGAACATAATTATTGCTGCAAGAATGGTTGATTATGAGGGCGTTTTACATGTTGGGAGTTAGTAGGCGTTAGATTTTTTATCTAAAACTATAACATTATTTACACAAGGAGATTATTTAATGCTTAAATGATTAATACAATGTATAAGAAAGTTGTAAAATTTAAAGAAATAATATGTACTATACTTTAATACATAAAATTTTTTAATAAAATCCGCAAGAAAATACTACTAGCTATTGCGACAAGAGATGTGATAAACAAATTAATATTCAAGGTTCTTTTTTGTCACTAATAAATATATGTATAGAAAAACAAGTAAGAAATTATGGTAGGGTATGTCTGGCCATATGATACCCTATATAAAGGAGCTGAGAGAAGGCCCAATACGGAGGCTAATTTTTAAACGAAGGCTTTATATGAGTCTCAGGTCAACCGAACTTTATAGAACTTAATACAATTAATTACATTTTTTAAAACAAATAATTTGTTAGTTTTAATATCAATAACCGATTTATTGACATTAAACTGACTTTTTAATGATCAACTGAATCAATTATGGATCGTTTCTCATAAAATTTGTTAGGTGCGTTTCAGATTCATATGCCAAATTCCATGAAATTATTTTGTAAAGAGCGAAATGTATTTTGATTATTAAAAGCGTTTAATTAATTAGATAAGA